GTTGTATAGAAGCAGTAAGGCGGGCGTGGTACGGTTATCTCAGTCTCAGGGTTCTATTATACCACGATTTTTGTACTGAAGTCGCGTACCACGTTACATTTTAATAGAACCAGTAAGGCGGGCGTGGTACGGTTATCTCAGCCCCGGATTTTTTTATACCACTTTTCTTTTAACTATCAACTCATCGTATTCTCGTATCATCCACAAATTTTATTATACCCCGTTTCTACCTGCCACGCTTTGTTTCATGTTCAGCATATCCACAATGTTCACGAATCACCGATGCCAGACATTTTCAGTGGTGGGGTACCCCCGCCAGACGCCCTAATTGCCCCACCCCCCAAAGCTAAGCTAGACTAGCTCATTTGTTAACTGCGTGAAATTTGTTGCAAAATGCTCAGCACATCCACATGTATCAAGAATCACCAATGCCAGACATTTTCAGTGGTGGGGTACCCCCGCAAGACGTCACCAATTGCCCCACCCCAAAAACCTAAGCTAGACTAGCTCACTTACTACCCACTGGAAACTTGTTGCAAAATGTTCAGCATATCCACATGTATCAAGAATAACCGATGCCAGACATTTTCAGTGGTGGGGTAGCCCCGCCAGACGTCCCCAATTGCCCCATCCCCAACGCTAAGCTAGACTAATCCATTAACTAACTGCATGAAACTTGTTGCAAACTGTTCAGCATATCCACATGTATCGCGAATCACCGATGCCAGACATTTTCAGTGGTGGGGTACCCCCGCCAGACGCCCCTAATTGCCCCACCCCAAAAGCTAAGCTAGACTAGCTCATTTACTAACCGCGTAAAACTTGTTGCAAACTGTTCAGCATATTCACATGTATCAAGAATGACTACCGTCAGACATTTTCCGTTAAGGGATACACACGTCAGACATCCCTAATCGCCCCCCCCCCCCTAAAATATCTTCTAAGCTAGACTAGCTCATTGACTAAGCGCATAAAATTTGTTGCATAATGTTCAGCATATTCACATGTATTATGAATGACCACCGCCAGACGTCCGTAATTCCTCCCCCCCCCCCCCAACAAAAACGTAGCTAAATTAGCGCATTTACTGACCGCACGAAAATTGTTGCAAAATGCTCAGCATATGCTCATGTATCAGGAAGGAAGATTACCAGGCATGTTCATTGGTGGTGTACACCCACAAGATGTCCCTAATTGCCCCCCCCCCCCTCCATCCTCCGACAATAATGACAACCGAGAGTTTCTTTCTTATCGAAACTCTTATGGTTAAAGTTTTGACACTTTCACTTAGAAATGAGCCAGACATTTCAGTGGTGGGATATCCCTGTCATACGCTCTTAGTATCAGTGGATGACTAGTTTATGTCCTTTCCTTTGGATCAGAATCAAAGTTTTCAGTAGAGGGTTCATCATCAGAATCATCAAGAAATGCGGTGTCATATTCGTTCCCAACAATGATTGTCTCATCGCTATCACTGTCATGTCTGCATTTGTCTTTTCGAACATACTGTCTGGTATTGCAGCTCCACTAAACCAAATGGGCTGGCGAGGATCGCCAACCACCTTCCATCCACAATCGGTAGGTGCCAAACTATAACCAGTGCAAGACGCTGAAGCCCATTGCCACGACATGGTCACGTTGTTGAGTCTTTGCAGCTTCATTTCAAAACATCTTCTTGATGGAGATCGCCAACCATCTTCCATCCACAATCGGTAGTTGCCAAAGCATAACCAGGGCAAGACGCTGAAGCATGGTACGTTGTGGACTCTTTGGAGTTTCATTTCAAACCATCTTCTTGATGGAGGCAGAAAGGCACAGTCAATCTTTTTGACATTTTCAAGTGGGTTCTCCTGAAATAAAACTTTGGATCAATCACTCGGTGAATCAATGTAGACAAACGGACGATAATAGTATTGTCAAGCGACCATTCATATACTATACATCTGGTTTAATTTAAACAGTATTCATTCACACTACAACCTATTTAAGAAAGTTTTTTTTTGTGTTATGTTGAAAATACCACCGAAATAGTGTGGCGGTGGTCATTCATAATACATGTGAATATATTGAACATTATGCAAGAAATTTTATGCGGTTAGTAAATGAGCTAGTCTAGCTTAAATATTGGGGTGGGGCAATTAGGGACGTCTGGTGGGGGTACCCCACCACTGAAAATGTCTAACAGTGGTCATTCTTGATACATGTGAATGCGCTTAACATTTTGCAACAAATTTCATGCGGTTAGTAAATGAGCTAATCTAACTTAGCTTTTGGGGTGGGACAATTAGGGACGTCTGGCGGGGGTACCCCACCACTGAAAATGTCTGGTATCGGTGATTCGTGATACATGTGGATATGCTGAACATTTTGCAAAAAGTTTTATGCGGTTAGTAAACGAGCTAGTCTAGCTAAGCTTTTGGGTGGGTCAATCAGGGACGTCTGGCGAGGGTACCCCACCACTGAAAATGTCTGGCATCGATGATTCTCGATAAATGTGGATATGCTGAACATTTTGCAACAAGTTTCATGAGGTTAGTAAATGAGCTAGTGTAGCTTAGTTTTTGGCTACCTGTTCTTTTAGTCTAGCGGACACGTCCCTCCACCTAAAATGTCTGGTAGTGGGCATTCTCAATACATTTTGATATACTTAACAAGTTTTACGTGGTTAATAAACGAGCTAGTCTAGCTTAGTTTTTGGATCCTATTTTTTGCCCCTCTTGACCACACCCACCACAACGGGCGCGGCAGATGTTCATATCCTGTGACAGTGAAACATAGGGAACCTAGTGACGCATATAGAAATTGGTTAGCTTTTCAGCTAGGTTGAACCCCCCGGGATTTTATTATACTACGTTTTTAACTGGCATGTTTTGTTTCCGGTAATACGATATACCACGTAGGGCCATTTTTAATGGGTTACAATAACTTTTACACCGTATTTAACCGATCGATCGAGTGTCTGTGTAAATATGATTTATAAATAGTATAAAACATCGAAATTGATTAAATAATTAATGTAATTTGCAAAATTAGCTTTTATTAAGGTAAAATCACCATAATTAAAAAGTATGTGGTACCAAAATCTCATACTACTTACATTTCTTGTTAGAAGCAATAGGGACGAGCGTGGTATTTTGGAGCGTGGTATTACTGGTATTTAAATCGTCCTTATACTTATATAAAATTGATAGACCACATTTTATTATATTGAAGTCAAAAGTTTGCTCTTTTGAAAGAGTGGCCAAGAAAGTTCATCGGAATTTTGCGGCGTTGTTTCCCTTTGTCAGTGGTGCAGGCGACGGAGGGCCTGACAGTGACAGCTTTGCTGTCTAGGCGTTCGGATGGTACAGAAAACCGAGGTTACGTGTCAGCTTAGTGTAGCCTACACATTGGCGTAAAGATCCCTTCCCTTGGCAGTTCGAATTCGATATACTGATGATATAGGATTAGCGCCGCTGTCCGGGCAAAATTTCCCCTCATAACACTACAGTGTATGGCGTATGACCGCCTTCATTAGCCCAGTCGGAGCAGAACAGTAGTACGTTAAACCCCTTTATATTTTATTTCGAATCTTTTTTGAACCACTTAGTTTATAGTTATGCGGGATACTGTACTATAACAAATCCACAGAAAATGTCTAGCCTCCATAGCTCAGTGGCTAGAGCACTGGTCTTGTAAACCAGGGGTCGGGAGTTCGATCCTCCCTGGGGGCTAACAATTTTTAAAAAAATATTTGATTCTTCTATGAATCTTATCATAAACCATCCTCTCAAATGTCTGTACTTCGGTTTCCACGTCGATTAATAGTCACACCTATGTGTGTTTGTTATGTTACGTAATTATTTAGGTCACTCGGAATTCACTCACAATCACCGGAATTCACTTACTTTGCTTACATTCACCGGAATTCACTTCCGCGAGGGAGAGAGAGAGAGAGATGGGGTTTAACGTTCACTCGACACAAACTAGGTCATTTCGGGACTAACATAATATGGTTTAATTTTATTTACATAATTCGCTTGCGCGTAGGGGTCTTTAGCAGTGGGAGGAAACCGGAGGACCCGGAGAAAACCCACGAGGTTGGACAGGCGACCCTACTCCTTGCCACGTACAACCGGAGATTCGAAACCACGACTCAATGACACAATGACAGACTTTCTGATACAGCGCGCGCACGCTAACCATTCAGCCATCCAACCCCCCTTCCGCGAAAGAAGAGTTTCTGGGGCAGATAACTCACTTATCGGAAAGGGCAATAACTCCAAAACAACACCCAATAACTCCAAAAATAACAATAGTTGAATTTTTAGAGGCCTCACTGCTTTGTGCCCAAATCGGAGTTTACGACAAAATATTAATGACTCGTGTATGTGATTTTTGTTGACAAGAAACTAATGTATACTTTCGTTGCAATTCTTTGTAATGCATTGTTAATTAATGATTGATAACATATAATAATATGAATGATGAAACATGTTGTGACATATATAATAAGTCACACTGGATTGTTTATCAGTACCAATACAAATTTTACTTCAACAGTTTATTAAACTGAAATCATCAGTGTGAAAATATGATCAGGCGATACAAAATAATGTACAATGTGAATCCGGTGACGTGTTACTACTGATCACCAAAAACCTCAGCTAATCACGATAATAAGTACGTTTATTCATGACAAAACTCTAACCAAATACGTAATACTTTTTCCTGAACTGATCAGTGGTCAGAAACCATCTCACACCACCGGAAGTAGATATAGCTTCGTTGTTAACACTAACAACAGTTTCGGACATGCGCAATTAGTGCCCAGGAGCAAACACACACCGGGAGTCAATTCAAACTGTCACACCGGCAGACTATTTTGTCTGATCGAGTGATCAGAATAAACAAATGTCCCGGTCCAATGACGTCTAAACTATAATAGTAATACTATAATTGCCATTGTCCCGGTCTATCAATCATTATATTAAATAAATTTGAAAATTAAAATCTGGATAATCGAACAACATCTACTTTCGATTTAGAGCGGAAGTCGACGTGTACGCTGAAGTTTTTACATCAGAAAATTGACTTTTCTAGGTGCAAATCAGTGTGACATATTTGTGAATTTCTTTTCTTCGATTTAAAAACGATTTGGTAAGTAATTGTAATTTTGTGTTTTGCTTGGGTTGATTTTTGGTTGATAAAATCAATGGAATATTGAAATTGAATTACTTAAAACACCGAAATTCACTTTGAAAACATATAAACATCGGAATTCACTTTAAAAATACGAAGTCGATATTTAACCGTATACGGCAAAGTATCTACTTCCGCTATTTTAACGTACATCGTTTCGGCGCAGAAGCACGATTTTACGGGAAAAACATAAAATAAACCACTGACAGTCTTAGTACTTAAAGGAGCTAAATCGCTAACATTTGGGACCTATAGACAAAAGTGGGTCGCAACGCATATAATACTGTAATATGAATGTATATACTGATTTACATTCAATGGTTTCCGTTTTTACTCCAATTTCAAATCAGTTATGTTCGGCGAAATTAAGCCAGCAGTCTCAATCGAGTTACAGATTTATTTGTAAATCATATTTTAGGTGACGTAACCGTTCAACGACCTTAACCTTTGACATTGCCTCGCTTTAAACTTTAAGCTTCCGCCTTTTTAATTATGCTAACGCCATGCGCCTGTGTTTTTTAATTTGTGCTATGTAAAAATGGCATCTTCAAGAAACAGACGACCTAATGCCGGTGGAAAAGATGAAAGATGTCCTTAAGGCGATCACTGGTGAGTCGGAAGACGACTCGACTGACAATGAAATTAGACCGGGTATCGGTGATGTCTTTACTCAGCCGAGTGCTACTGCTAGTCCTGATCCAACCTCGACCGCCATTCCACATGAAAAGGGCGACCCCGAACACACTAGTTTAGCGAATGCTTCTGAGATCGATCCTGAGCTAGTTACCCTTCAGTTTGAAATTCACACAGTGAGAGTTCAAAACCAAAAAGCCATCCTTCATCAAATGAATTCATCAACAGAAAATCCTCCTGTCAATGGCGGAGAACAGACTCAGAGGCATGACCGCCTCTTCAACTTTCCTGGTAACAAATCTTCAACTAACGACATAAATCAAGATGAGGTGCGTACTAGTAATATCTCGTCGGCCACGCCCCTAAGTCTACAGGTTTTATCAGCGCCAGGCATCACAAAATCTGACAAGGCATTACAGATTTTAAACTTTCTTTGGTTGGATCCTGTAGCGCCATGTGATACTTTTTCCATTGGTACCGATGTAGAGTTTCGCATAGGCAAAAGAAAGTCTTTAGACAAAGTAACCATTAAGGAATGGGGATATGCAAATACACACATCCTGCAAGAACTTATGAAACAGAATCCATCATTTAGTGTGGCCGCCTACTTGAAATATACAGCCGACTTCTTCCGTCTCGCTTCTAAATATGTATGGTATAGTGTACTATTATATGACAAAGAATATCGCGATCGTCAAGCGGATGAAAACTTTGAATGGGGAAGCTATCTACAAGAGTTACGTGAATTTCAATTGGTATTAAAAAGAGATCATCCCTCGGCTAGAGCCCTGTCAGAACAGACTAGGTTTCCATTCGTGCCATAATTTTCAAAATCATATAATAAACCAATGCCGGTTTTCAACAAACCATGGTCATCATCTAATCGAGCAAAGGGACCATTTTTGCCTGACGATAAAGAAATATGTCGCAATTTTAACAGTAATGTGTGCCTTCGTACCGATTGTAAATTAATGCACAACTGTGCTATGTGCTTCTCTAATTCGCATTCTGCAATCGATGGTCATAAACAAGGTGTGATTACAGGTCAGCCGCCACAAATTTTTCACCCAAAGACTGCTTCGATCCACAGTACAAATTATGAGTTACCTCCCTTTCGTCTGCTGACGTTGATAGGCGTGGGGGCCTACGCTATGCCGCATGGACACGACTTTTACCTGCCATTTGTACAGACAGAGATTTTATTTTGAGTGGTGTAAAACATGGGTTCACCCTAACGACAAAATTTGGTCCCTACCTACCAATCGAACGTGATAATTACTCGTCCGCATTCATGTTTAGAGAAAAAGTTGAGAAACAGATTAAATATGAAATTGCAGCTGGAAACTATGTAATAACTTCAGTAAAACTGACAATAATAAGTGCGCTGGGTGCTATTCTTAAACCTAGTGGTGACATTCGCCTAATCTTTGAACTCTTTAACGTCCGAGACCAGCTGCTCCTACATGGATTTTAAAGATGCATTTGTTTTTATTACTCCTAACTGTTATCTGGCTAAAGTGGATTTGAAAAGCGCATACAGATCGGTTAGATGTCACAGCTCTGATTACCATTTAAATGGCCTTAAATGGCACTTTTCGGGCGATACTAGCCCTGTGTATTTTTACGATTCAAAATTACCTTTTGGTCATGCAAAGAGCCCAACAATTTTTCAAACTCTTAGAAAGGCAGTATGTAAGATAATGTCTGTTAGGTTTGGTGTCAACTGTATCGCTAACCTCGACAACTTTTTAGTCATCGAAGACACTTTTGCATTGTGTAACCGGGGATTATTATTGTTGCTCCAGACTCTGCGCGAATTGGGATTTGATATTTCTTGGAACAAGGTTGCAGGGCCGTCTCAAATGATGCTCTTTCTTGGCATACTGTTAAATACCAAAAACCTTACTCTCTCCATGCCGCAGGATAAACAGTCTGAATTTCTTGACCTTTTGCTAGTGTTTCAAAAGCGGAAACGGGCAAGTTTAAAACAATTACAGTCTCTTTGTGGAAAACTAAACTGGGCGTGCCAAATGATCAAGGGGGGGGGGGGGGCGCATATTCCTTAGACGTCTAATAGACATGGCCGTCACTGTCAAACGAAGAGGAAAAGTAAAATTATCTGCCGAATTTCACTTAGACATTACCTGGTGGATAAATTTTATGAGTGTTTTCTCTGGAACAGTAAAATTTCTCGATACCAAAACTACCACCTCATCACAAACTGATGCATCCTCTGGAGGGGGTGCTGGTGTTTACAACGGTGATTTTTTTAATGTGAATTGGGCAATTGATTTACCCTGTGTTGAACATGAGCATATAAATGTTAAAGAGACCGTTGCAATTCTTTTATCAGCCATGCGTGGTGTAATTTCTAGCGTCTGGTTATTCCAGTCTACAAACGCCGTTTGATTTGGTGCAATGTGTCTAGCCTCGTCCCTCGAGTCTCTTGTTACAACTGTGGCTGAAGGGCATTATGGTACACGATTCATGTACCAATGGTAAAATGTTTATTTTGTCTTACATATTGGATATCAAAAGCCCATCTTTTTCCGGTAAGATCACAACATCAATGTTGATTTAATTTGACAAATTAATCGTGTTTTCAATGTTGAAGATTTTGGATGATATTGATTGAGTTAGAGACTTAGCTACTTTAAATTAAAACCAAAATCCGCAGAAATGTGCCCTCAACCAAAATAGAATAATATTTTAAATGCTTTTCTACAATTTACATTTATTATCTTATTTTCTTTTAAAAATAATTCTCGAGTTTCTACCATAGAAAGTCAAGTATGGCTATTTCGTTCCTTTATAAGAAACGGAAAAAGAAGCAATGTTAGACAAAGAACGAATAGAACTGTAGGGTTAGGTTTTGGGTTAGGGTTTGGGTTATGGGTTAATGTCAGATGCCAAAGCGAAAACTGTTAAGTCCAGGTATCAAAGAACTGCGCATGTTAAACGGAAGCGCATGTTAAACGGAAGCGTACGGCAAAATAGTAAATAAAGTAAAGTGCCGTATACGGTTAAATATCCACTGCCTTAAAAATATCGGAATTCGCACTTAAGACCTTACTAAGTAATATTTTACATTAATAATAAATGACGGTACTTTCAAACACCGAAAATCACCAGAATTCACTTTGTATATACATTATATTATAAACACTGGAATTCACTTTCAAAATATCGGAATCCGCACTTATTTTAAGACTAATAGTTTGCATTAATAATAAATTACTTTAAAACACCGGAATTCACTGTCTAGCAACGCGGTAAAAAAAATATTTCCAGATGGTCCGATAATTGTCATAAAACTGTACGTTATACTTTCAAACTACCCGGTAATAGTGTTACTACAGATAAAATTTGCCTACACATTAGTTGTTTTCTTCAAATGAGCCACGATGTCTCAGTGTTCAAACCGGTGTTGACTGACAAGGGGCATCACGATTTTCCGGAATGGTTCCCCCTTGTCAATGGTGGGCGGGGGTCCCATGTACACATTGGAATTCGAATTAAGAGTAGACAGCAGGGCCGCTAGCTGTCTGGTCAAGTCTGGTCAAAATTTCAATCATATCACACTGCATGGTGTATGCCCGTCTTCCATTAGTCCAGTCGGTGCAGAAAACTAGGATGTTAAACCCCATTTCATTTTTTCAGATTGGCCCCAAGAACAGAATTGCCCCAAACTGCAGGCAACTTCTCAGATCATCCCATACAGCAGCTAACCTTACAGAATGCCTGTGGCCTTCAATTGTAAAAAAAAATGGATGCATAACATAAAGAGTGATTGATATATGTTTAACTTTATTATACACCCACATTTTCATGTGGAAATATTATGCCGTCGCCCCTGTCCGTCCACAATTTGTTTATGGACATTCTACAAGTCACAGTTTTTATCCGATTTTGATGAAACTTGAAATATAGGTTTATCTCCCAAAGATCCTTGTACGCAAATAGTGTAAAAAGTATGTAATACCAAGGTTGTGGACTAGAGGTCACAATTTTTATCTGATTTTTCTGAAACTTAAATGAGGGTGTATCTTGCATGGCAACCGCTTGTTTTTCATATTTGCTCAACATACAATTTATCTCTTCTCTTCATAGCCAATATTTATTTTGTTCATCACAATAAATACTGAGGCTTCTTTCAATAACATGTTGCATATAAATTGTTGGGGATTACCAACACAAAGTTACAATTCTGGAGATATGGTAACTGTAAACACTTCCTCTGGTATTGCAAATACAAAGTTTTTCTTGAATCTTCTTTTTAACAGTTTTGTACAAAGAAAGTCAACTAATTGGAATCCCGGGACCTGAAAGAATAATGGTAATATTCTTCTTTAAAGGGGCATTATGGGAGATTAGATAAAGAGTTTACAGTTCTTGCTATAATAGTAAATAGATATGCTGAAAATTTCAAATTGCTCCACTCTGAACCAAGATATTAGCTTTTGAATTTTAGGCTAGCCTCGATCATCATTACTAAAGTCAGTACGATAAAAAACAAAGTCTCGATTATCCATTTTTACATTTAATTATTTTTCAAAAAATGTATTCAAATCCGCTAAATATTGCAGGCTAGCGATGGCATCGAGAGTTGATTATGGTCTGGATAAGGTAATTAATGTCTAATTAATAATTTAGATAATATTTCAGGCCTAAAGAAAGACCTGCAACAGGCAGATTTAGCTCTTGCATAATGTATGTTTAATAAATGAAATATTATAGTCAATATGAATTTTGATACAGATATTGAGTTTTGGCACGAATGGCACGATTATCTATCTATTGAAAACATCACAGAAATTGTTTTATGCTACCAGGTGATCGTGGACATAAATTGACTAAAATTACAAACTACCACCACTACCATCAAAGTATCAACAAATTGAAAACAGTTCTAGATGCAAGTTTACGACACAGTGTCATGAAGTTTCATAAATATATCTTGAATGATTTCTGAGATGTGCCGTTGAATATTTAAAATTAAATGCGATTCACACACAAAATCTGAAAAAGTACAAAGTTTCATAATGATATCTTTAATAGTTTATGAGATGTGCCCCAGAATAATAATTGTAAACCAATAACTTAAAAAAAAAATGATTTCAATGGAAACACTTAAAGATACATTTGCGCATACAAACTGGGTGATTTAATGGTATATATGGACTAAAAACATATTCAAACTAATTAATTTGTCATAATTTTACTTCAAATCCTTCTCAATCATTGTAATTGCTAAGGAATGCCCTGCTATAAAAATTCGATCAAACCAGGTCATGTTTATGTCACGTGACTTACCTCTCTTGGAAGTCAGAGGAGAATTCATTGCATACATAAGACGATGTTGTCTTTAATCGCTTACTATTTATTACAAATATCGAATCCTAATTAAATTCTCGGATTATCCAATTCCGGCGTCTTTTTTCGTCATTTTTATCTCAGAAAGTGTTGTATGTCTAACTCTTTATAAAGTTTATCAACTTGTACATCAAGCGCTCAATGTTCGTGTATGACCTTTGACATCACGCGTGCAGAAATTCCTAATCGTCGGGCTGTCGATTAGGGGAACTCATACATTTTTGTCCTGTATACGCTCCATGAGTGTTTTTCGGGGAATCCAGTATTTTTCTAGTAAAATTGGATATCTCTACTTTCCATATATACCAAAATTTCCATACTTTTATTGGAAATAACCACCCGATAAATACTTTTCTGGGAAACCATCTTTAAATTATTAAAGAGAGAAATTAACAAAAGCCACAGCTATTATAATAGGTTATGTGCATAAAGTTTCATAAAGATACCTTAAACGGTTTATGAGATGTGCTTTGTAAACAAAATCTGGATGGACAGACCTCGTACTACATTTGGCACGAAATAATAAAAGTTTTACAAGAACAAGAAATTACCTTTATGCTAACAATGTTAAATCCAAAGCTCCTCTTCTGCTTTTCTTTTCCAGAAATATATTGCGAGATTCTTGTCATCTCAGGACTGTGCCTAAAATGTTAACAATTGTTATTATCAATATTATATACATGAAATCAACTTAAATGGGTTTCAATATCCAATTGGGCTAAAGAAAACAGGCATACACCATGAAGGGAGCTACGAGGGAAATTTTGCCTGGACAAAGGCATTATAGCCTACTCTTTTATCAAACTAGTTTTATGGAACTGAGCTAAAACAGTATGTTTCTTATCACTGGCGACCTGATTTGCCTAGATAATTGTTATATTCCTCTAATGAACCTATGCATTTTCTTTGGTCTGATGAATCTGTCATTCCTCCACATTCTTTTGATCATCCATGTTGTGAACCATTTCATGGAAGGACTAAGTTATATTTATAGCACGGCTTTCCCGAGTTAACAGGTTTAATTCGGCCTCTGGTTAAACCTGTTAACGAATGAAGCGTGCTATAAATGACTTGTAACATTGACAACTGCTCAACATGCTTACTGTTATTGCACAGAAAACCCACCCTACTTCTCTATATGATTTCTACTAAAAGTAGTGTAAACCCGCAAAAGTGTGCAATAACATTGAACATGTCTAGTTATTGCACAGTTAAGCTCCACCCAATCTACTAGAGGGAAAACACTCTGCTTATTCAAGGAAAAGAACAAAGGAAGATTTCCCGTCCATGTTACAAGACATGTTAATCCAGGTGGGCAATGTTTCAAGAACTTGTAGGATCATGTTGTTTGTATGAAAGTACATGGGGATTATATTGAGATTAATGAATTAGGAATTAAGAGTGATTATAATGGAGAGAAAATGAATAACAAGAGAATGACAGAGGCTCATTGGATGAATGACAAGGAATGACTGGTTCACCAAGCGAATGACATAGGGAATGACAGAAGTTTTTTTTTTAAATAGAATGACATACCTACATCAGAAGAATAACAAACAATGATAAAGGAGAATGAGTATATTCATAAGATGAATAATAAAGAGAACGACAAAGTTCATCAGGGGACTGGCAGATAGAACATAGTCCTAGTAGTAGAGGCATGACAGAGAGAATGACAAACTCATAAGAAAATGAAATGGGTTTAAGGTCTTACTGTTCTACAAACTCATAAGAGAGAGAGAGACGGAGAGAGAGAGAGGTTTAATGTCCACTCAACACTTTAATAGGAACTTTAGCAGTGGGATAGAAATCATACCATTGACTCAATGACAGACTTATGATCTATAATCTCATGTCATTCCCTTTGTGACTCATTTAGTGAACCTCTGTCATTACTTGAGTCTCAGCCTTTCTACCTGTCATTCCATTTCTCATTCATCTGATCATTCTTTTTGTCATTCATCTGGTGAATGTCAGTTATTCTCTTATTATTCTTCTGGTGAACCTGTGTCATTCATCTGTGTCATACATCTAGTTAACCTGTGTTATTCATCTGGTTAACCTGTTATTCTTTGTCATTCATCTGATGAACCTGTGTCATTCTGTTTGTCACTCGTCTGGTGATCCTCTGTCATTCTCTTTGTCATTCGTGAACTTTTCATTCTTTTTGTTATTCTTCTGGTGAACCTGTGTCATTGTCTGATAAAACCATGTCTTTTTCTTTGTTATTTGTCTGGTGAAACTGTCATCTCCTGCATCATTCATCTGGTGAACCTATCATTCTTCTGGCAAATCTCTGTCCTTATGGCCCCTTACTGTCTGAAAATCGCATATAAATATTGTTTTTTGGGGCGCGGACAGGATCTTGTTCCTCATGCAAAGTCATGGGTTACAATGCCCCTGCCTAAGGGGAGAATATATATATAGTTTATAAACTCATTGTCGTTCAGTTGTCATTTACGGCACCATATACCAAAAAATTAGGCAAATAGTTACCTGAAACCAGTTAGAACCTACTTCCACTTGTACTACCATTCCACAACTGTACAATAATAATTTCAGTTTCATACCAAGGAATGGTTACAATATTTTGAAATAATAGACAGTTGTAGTTATTATATTGACTAGAATTAGCAAGCAAGGTAGTAGATAATTCTACCTGACATAGTCAGTGACAGATGGCTTATTTCCAGGCTTGCAGTAGTCTGTATCATTCAGTCAAATATTCTAGAATAGAGTGGAATGGTTGTCAACATTTGAGAATAACTAGGTCATTGGCTAGATTAACCTGTCCTTTACATTGACAATCCTAATTTGTTGTCACATTTCATGTTTGTTTATAAAGGAAATGAAATGGGGTTTAACATCCTACTGTTCTGCTCCAAACATGCATGAATTATGGGATTTATTTCGGGAAGGGGTGACTTGAGCTAAAAGGTTTCCTTGGCCCATACTAACCAGGAGCTTGGTGTTTTATGTGGTTGATTATCCAGTAAAACTTCATCAAATCTGGACACCTGACCTAGACCCTCTGTATGTTGAAGACAAAGAGGTTGTGGGTTTCTGAGACTAGGCTTGCCTAATTTCTGTATTTTCAGAAATGAAATGAAATGGGGTTTAACTTTCTACTTTCAGATATTTCAAGCAATGATAACATTAAATGGTTTGCAGGAGTTTAATACTGAAGACTGAAAACTCTGTAGAATTTGAATTTGTGCCATTGTCTAATTTGTCTTCAAACATCAAGATTCATATGAAGAGAAAACAGAAAAATAAAAATGTCCGGAAGAAGGAATAGAGGAAACTTTGGACTTATTTTACTTGGATCACAACTTTTAAATGTTGGGGTAAACAGAATACCTCCAGTAACTCTAGCCCTTATTGCTGCACAGACAGCAATTTTTATGGATGTTTTCCCCAAATATTTCCCATCAGCGACTGCTGTTTGTATGAGTTCATATATTGTGTGGTACCATAAAAAATGGGAAAGACTTTTTCTCTCAGCTGTTTTTCACGCAGACGACATGCATCTTTATTTCAATATGTCTTCGTTAATCTGGAAAGGGATATTTCTAGAGAAAAAGTTTAAAAGTGTTTATTTTGCATATCTAGTCTCAGTTTTTACAGCTTTAACAAGTATTGTTTATATTGGCTTAAATATTTTATTAGAAAATGTTTTAGAAGATCATTCATATGGAATGCAGTGTGCTGTTGGATTCTCAGGTAAAATTATCATCTTATCATCTAATGACCTCTGACTTCCTTCAGTAAACTTGAGTTCCTTTCTAAAATGTAAATGCCCCAACATGCAGCTTTTAAAAAAATGTATTAACAGCAATTTTGATTTATTTTTTGTGACTGGATCATAGCTACAGGTGTGGAATTCTACACAATATTCACAATACTAGTCTATATTACACATTTATGTAGGCCTGTTTTCATTTTCCACTGTATTATCTTAAACAGGTGTACTATTTGCATTAAAAGTTTTAGTGACTCATTACACACCACCAGGACGCCACCTAGCTCTCGGTTTTATACCTGTACCATCCCGATGGATTTACTGGGTCGAGTTAATCCTAATCCAATTAGTTACACCTAATGCATCTTTTACAGGTAAGATAAAACATTGAAACTCAGGTTTAGCTTTAAAATAATTTATTACCAAATAACAGTTTATACAATTTATGAATCCTCTCCAATATAAATTGGCGATGCAACTCATTAATTATGCACAGGTCGTTAATTATGAACAGGTCATTAAACATACATTATGCAAGAGCAAAATCGGCCTATTGTAGGTCTTTCTTTAGGCCTGAAATGTTATAAAAACTATTAATTAGACAATAATTAACTTATCCAGACCATAATCAGCTCTCGATGTTAAGGCTTGCCTGCGATATTTGTTGGATTACAGTCCGATTTGCAGCAAAACTTTCCTTCGTGATTAACGATTAAATGGATAATCAAGACTATTAGTTTTGTCTTATCGTCTTCAGTAATGATGATTGAGGCTAAGCGGAACTTTCATCCGCTTGGTTCTTGGTTGATAGTGGATCAATTTGACTGAAATTTTCAGCAAGTTGCCTTTACATTATGTAGTTTTTAACTATTATAGTGAGAACTGCCAACTCGTTATCTAATCTCCCATAATGTATCTTTAATTAATTATAAAAATGTTTTATTATCTTGCAAGGTACCTTATATACACAAATGATTTTATCCAATGAATCTGTGAGTCGCAAACATGAAAAATATTTTGTTATTGCAATAATTTGTTAAAGTTGGGCATTGTTGAATTATTGTTTAATTTATAAAAAAAATTGTGTTTGCTTTTGGCAGGTCATTTAGCTGGTATTTTAGTTGGGTTGTTTTTTATCAAAGGTCCATTAAAACCTCTCATGGACAGCATCATATCTCCAGGTAAGATATTCATTCTCAGGGTTACATGTGGCTAACATTTGCTACCCATCATTTACTGTTTTGTTTTTAGGCATCAAAATTTAAATAGAAGTATATTTTTTGCATTATATGAGGCGTTTTTACGGGAAACCGATTAGGGCTAATCGATTTGCATTTCCTTTCCAAGCACATTTACGGCAAAAATTAGCCTAATCGGTTTCACCTAATTGTCGTATTTACCACGACGATTTGCCAAATTGATTATGCAAATCTTCCAACTTGCTCGCCTGCCGGATTGAGGATTCGATTTCCAAGATGGCGTCCCCAACAAGGGACACGCCGTGCCCGACGTTAGATCATTTTCTTTTGAATTTCACGTTAAAATATGAATAGGCCTATTATGGATATTCCTAATAAAAATACGGGGCATTTGGGGACAGTCAACTGGTACAATTTTTCGTTTTTATTTTTGGGCGGTGTCGGCAAGAACATAATAAAGAAAAGTGATTTTTTTTAACAGTTGCGAGGCAACTCATCGTGTTTACGAGAACCGATTCGAATACCAACTCGAGACCTATGTCTTTGTACAAAACGAGATAGGTAATCGAAACCGATTTGTTTTCTCGTAAAAACGCCTATGGATATTCTCTACATTATTTTACCTAATCAATACAACTTTTGTGGTAAATAATGACGTTACAATGTATAGTTTAGTTTTGTAATTATTTATCGCTTATTGGCAAGCCTACATTAATAATGGATGATGAGTGTAGTATTATTAATGAATATTATATGGTACTTTCTTCAGAAATGGGTAATAATTACAGATACCATGGTACTGGCTATAGTTCTGGCAATAGTCAGTCTAGTAACTATATTTACACTGACAGGGGAGGTTACTCTAGAACAACTCCTTCAGCTCCACCACCAGAATATGGATTTAGACAAGAATATACTGGTGGTTTATCAGAAGATGAACAATACAGACGTGCTCAGAGAGAAAGTTTGCAACAACAAACGAATCAGAGTAAGGCATTAAAGCAATTGTCATGATTCAAATCTATAGTCATCAAACATATGATTTGTCAGAGGGAGATTAAAAGATTCTGTTTTACTGTATTATAACACTTTGTGAATAAAAATTGTGTTTGAGGTATCTATTTAAAGATACATTATGGGAGATTTGATAATGAGTTGGCAGTTCTCACTATAATAGTTAAAAACTAGATAATGTAAAGCCTATTTGGTGAAAATTTCATTCAAATTAATCCACGATGAACCGAGAACTAAGCTACTGAAATTCCCATAAGCCTTGGTCATCATTACTAAAGTCCGTACGATAAACAGCATAGTCTCGATTATCCATTTAATCGTTTAATCGAGAAGGAAAGTTATGCAGTAAATCGGCTTACAATCCACTAAAGATCGCAGGCTAGCGCTGCCATCTAGAGTTGATTATGGCCTGGATAGGTTAATTAATGTCTAATTAATAATTTAGATAACATTTCAGGCCTAAAGAAAGACCTGCAATAGACAGATTTAGCTCTTGCATAATGTATGTTTAAAGGTTTGTAGTATACCGCTGTATAGAACAGAGTTAGATTTACGGGAAATCTATGAAAATTGTGTTATAATATATAACCAAATCAATACATACATATATCTTCTTGTTATTTTACAGGACTCTACCCAGATTTGGACGAATTAAGAAAACACAGAATGAGACATTATAATTAATTTGGTTAATGAAGTCATATTAAAAGTTTGAATTCCATTGGTTAATGAAGTCATATTAAAGTCTAGATTCTTTTAGTTGATGATGTCATACGGCAGTCTGGTTTCTATTGTCAATAATTTCTCACTTTCAAAATGTTACGGTAACATTCCAGCACAAATTGTGACAGATTTGGACAATATTTTCCTGAAAAAGGAATGCAGTGAAAAATTTAATGGTACATTTTATTGTGGGATAAGTCTGTCAACTGATGACTAGTCTGTCAACTGATGATGCCTGCCAGCTGATGGCTAATCTGTCAACTGATGGCTAATCTGTCAACTGATGATGTCTGCCAATGAATATAAAGTAAGAACGATATGTGTAGCGCCTTTCTGTCTGACATGGAGAGCGGAAACATACTAAAACCGGTCGCCACATCCTACGTACGACCAATGCATCTTTTCTTACTACATATTTCTGTAGCCTTGTGATCGTCTAGAATTTGTCTTTAGCAGTCTGTAGTTCTGCTTCACGTTGTGTATTTACTTCTTACTGGTTTCTTAAGACGTTTGTCTTACCAGGAATAACAATGCAACAATTCGCTTCTACATTTTATATAGCATAGCTGAATACATGTATACAAGCACAGATTACAATACAAGCTAAAACCGTTTCTCAACTCTAGCCAGCCTCGCGGCTGTCTAGGAACTCAGATGGAACCTCTCTGGAATCTATATTACGCACAGAAAGCCTGTTCATGGACCTGAACTTGTGTAATTTCTGATATGATTGGTAAAGTGAAGCCAAATGATGCAATTAGAATAATTCCACTCATGTGTAATCTGGTGGTATTTTATTGACACATGTTTTGGCTAAATAACTCTTTTTATGTGTCAACTGTCAATTACAGACTAAGTTGATTTAGTACACACTATATATAATATATATGTGAATATGTGTGAAACTATTAATTTGCCAAATATATTAATTAATGAAATATAAAGTCATCTTATTTCTCTATTCTTTGTCTATAAATTTAAAAACAATGCCGCAATGACTATATTGTTACATATGTGTGTAATGGTATGACTAATTTATCAAACAGAAGTTTCAGTTATAGGCTCTCTTTAAAAGAAAGCAATAGTCTTTCAGTGAGGCAAATGCTATAAACAGTTGCAAATCCAAAATTGTGTGACTATCCTGCTTGGTTCATGGCATATCATGATAGTGATGATACTAAGGTGCCCCTTTTTATATGCCCGATTGATACACAGTGTTGACGGTCATGAGGCGAAGAAGCCTATTGATTTTCAACAATTTCCGATAATTACTGCCAGAGTTATAGCTTTTGATCACTTTGAAAAATCTTGTGGATGCTTTAGAGGCTAAAGTTAATGAGGCGAAGAAGCCCAATAATTTCCGATAATTACTGCCAGAGTTATGGTCCTTGATTACTTGAAAAGTTAATATAAATTTATATTGCCAGTTAGTGATACCCTGATATTTTTGCCCAGTGCTTGCCCCATGGGTGTTTTCGGGGTAATCCAGTATTTTTCTGGTAAGATTGGTTGTCTGTACTTTCCATATATACCAAATTTGCCATACGTTTATTGGAAATAACCACCCGATCAATACTTTCGGGACAATGTATCTTTAACATTTTCTTCATCATAAACATAACAAATCCATAGAAATAGGTGCAAATAAATCATTAAATAAATTAAAACTAGTTACAACTCTTTATTATGTAAAGAGAGAGGGGGGTGGGGGTACCCGTAGTTTTTATGCATCCACATTTTCATGTGGACGTATTATGTCGTCATTCTACAGGTCACAAGTTTTATCCGATTTTGATGAAACTTTTGATATTGGCATATATCGGCCCATAACTTCATGGTGTACGAAAAATCACGTTTTTAGTTTGTAGACCTTCTAGAAGTCACAATTTGTATCCGATTTTGATGAAACTTGAATGTATGTTTATAACCCAAAGATCTCGGTTCCTTTCAATATTCGCGAATATCAGACTGTAACTTCCTGGATTATGGCCCCTGATTGTACGAAAAACCGTGTTTTTTTTTAGCTTGTGGATTCTCTAGATTCTCCCATTTTTAAAAACTGTTTAAATAAATCACCATTCCATCATACGGAAGGTTGATTTCGAATTTTGGGAAAATCAAAACCAAACTACCCGACAAAATGGCCGCTCTTTGTACGCAAATAGTGTAAAAGTACGTAATATGAAGGTTATGGACCCTCTAGAGTTCACAAATTTTACCCGATATTGATGAAATTTAGAATATATCTATATATCCCAAAGATTGCAGTCCCTTTCGATATTTGCACATTTCAGACCATAACTTTTTTGATAATGGCCCTGATTTGTACGAAAAATACTTTTGTTTTTAGCTTGTTCTCTATCCATCCCTTGCAAAATGTGGGTGTATCTTGCCTGGCAACCTCTGGTTCTCTTATGGAAGAAACCTTTTCCTAATAAGATCCTCCCTTTTTAGCCAACGATAAAAATTCCCAGAACGTTCCATATATTGGAGAAGCGCCCCGCTCTCTCCCCCCCCCCCCCCCCTTTGATCTCCAAGATCTGAAATATACAATTATCAGTGGATGCTAAAACAAAAGCATCGCTAACGCTGCAATATACGTCCACATTACAGCATTGATTGATATGGTACTTTTAAAAAAGAAGAGAATGAAATATAAAATGGCTGTAATATGATAAGAGGCAAAGAAGGCTAGGCATTGGGTTTGTTTTGCCAAATTTACAGAGAAAATACTAACAAAAAAGTGGGTGTGACACTGCCCTAGGAGGTCGGGGCAAGCACCAAAATAAATAGTTGCTCTCTTTACGGTATAAGGAATAAATATGCAAAGTTCCAAGATGAACCATTCAGAATTGCAGCCTCTAGACTAGAAATACAAAAAATGGGTGTGGCTCTGCCCCTGGGGGTTGGATATGGAACAATATAAATAGGTATCACCCAGTTATTGAAATGACAACATCAATAGTTGCGTCCTTAGGGTATAAGGAATAAGTATTCCAAGTTCCAAGATAATCCATTCAAAATTGTGGCCTTCGGGCGCTAAAGGCAAAATTTGGGTGTGGCTCTGCCCTTGGGGGTCGGGGCATTCACCAAAATCAATAGTTGACTCCCTTAGGCTACAAGGAATACATATGCCAAGTACAAAGTTGATCCATTCAGAACTCCGGCCTGTAAACGATAAACACAAAAAATGGGCGTGGCTCTGCCCCTGGGGATCGGGCATGCACCAAAAACAATAGGGATCATCCATAGGGTATAAGGAATTCATACGCCTGTAGGCTGCACACAAAAAGATAATAGGCGTGGCTCTGCCCCTGGGGTTGGGCATGCAACCCAAACGATAGGGGTGTTCCTTAGGGTACAAAGAATAAGTATGCAAAGTTTCAAGATGATACGTTAAGAAAGACGGCCTGTAGACGACAAATACAAGAAATGGGCATGGCTCTGCCCCTGGGGATCGGGCATGCATCAAATGAAATGAAATGAAATGAAATGGGGTTTAACGTCCTACTGTTCTGCTCCTAACCTGGGCTAATGAAGACGGGCATACGCCATACAGTGTGCTATGAGGGAAATTTTGCCCGGGCAGCGGCACTATCGCCTACTCTTATATCGAATTCCAACTGCCAAGGGATCTTTTACGTGCATTCCAATGTATACACGGGACCTCGGTTTTTCGTCCCATCTGAACGACTAGACAGCTTTCCTTGTCAGCCCCTCCGTCCTGCATCACTGACAAGGGAGAACCACGCTGGTAAATCTGGATGAACTTTCTCGGCCAGTGCAGGGATCGAACACCCGACCTCCAGGCTAGCGAGCCAGCGTCTTACCCACTTAGCCACGTGATCCCCCGGCATGCATCAAAAGAGAGAGAGAGAGAGAAATGGGGTTTAAATGTCCACTTGACACAAACTGGGTTATTTTGGGACTAACACATGGTTCAATTTTATTTCAATAATTTGCTTGCGCGTAGGGGTCTTTAGCAGTGGGAGGAAACCGGAGGACCCGGAGAAAACCCCCGAGGTTGGATGCACCAAAAACAATAGGGATCATCCATAGGATATAAGGAATAAGTGTGTAAAGTTTCAAGATGATTACTTAAGAATTGTGGCCTGTAGGCGACACACAGACACACAAAAAGAAAATGGGCGTGGCTCTGCCCCTTGGGGTTGGGCATGCACCCCAAACGATAGGGATGTTCCTTAGGGTATGCAAAGTTTCATTATGATTCGTTAAGAAATGCGGCCTGTAGATGACAAATACAAAAAATGAGCGTGACTCAGCCCCTGGGGGTCGGGCATGCACCAAAAACAATAGGGATCATCCTTAGGGTATAAGGAATAAGTATGTAAAGTTTCAAGATGATCACTTAAGAATTGTGGCCTGTAGGCGAGACACACACACACACAGGGGCGATGGCAATAGACGTCCACATTATCTTTGGAGCTCAACAATTTTGATTCTAATTGAGTGTGAATGCTCACATTTAGCACTGATAAGCAAAATTATCGATGCTTTATAAAAAGAAAAAACATGCAGATGTTGTCAGATAATGGCTGGTCTTATTGGGGCTTTGTATGCAATGCTGCCCAGTGTTATTGGTAGTGTGATAGCACCAAAGTTTTCAAGTCACAGATCTTGAATAAATGCAGTCTCGTGTTCAGGTGTAAGGTTGGCATATCCTATTGTCATTGTTCTGACCCGATCTTGTGTCTCATAAATATTGATTACAAGTACCGTGGTTTGATGTGCAATATTATAGGGTGCAGTAGTTCAGGGTGGTCCCCATGCCACTCAACAAACTACACTAGATCTCAAGATTATATATGGGTGATGTTTTTATTGGAAGCTTTTGTTTTTTTCACACAAAATAATTTACAACTTTCAAATAGACTATAAAATTATGCATGGAAAGTGGATTACAATAATTATATGTAACAAGTGTTGAGTTTTACTTGTATTGCATCATTAATATTTTTATATATTTAGCCAAAAAGCTGGAATAAATGAGACAATGTTTTGAATAAAAAGAATAAAACCAGCAATGATAGATAACACTATAAATGTGATAGGATTCATCACGCTGAATAACGGGGAGGTTTCTATGCAGAAGTACTGGATTTACATGTCAGCTGCAGCCAATGCAGGGCCTCATTATCTAGGGAGGCCTTGGCCTTCTGCCACAAAATTCATACACAATCTTTATATCAATGCTAAAATTTCAGCAATGCGTTCTTTGGGCAGCCCAAGGACTCCATTAAACTGACACTGTTTCTATGAAGATACCCAATGCAAAATAATTAAAATAATAATTGGATGAAGGAAGGTTTGTATTTCAGGAAATCGCTTAAAAACAACCATGATTCTAACATTTATAATATTTAGCAGAACTTGAATATTAAGAACTATAGTATACAAATTACATTAAAAAAACTTCAGCAAAAACTTATATAAGTATGGTTTCTTTGGTTTGAAATTAATAATGAAAAAGAGTAAACAATTATTGCTAGACGTTTCCTAGACGTTGAATGCAATGCCAATTAACTACAATTTGTATAAAAACTGGCTAAAAATTTAAAATGCATTGAAATTAATTAAAATGATCAATTACTGTAATAAAGGAAGACAACTGAATTGACTATTTAATCTTTTCAATAAACTTGTACCTTTACAAACAAACTAGATCAGAGTTCACAAAGCATTCTCAGACTTAAGTTAAGAATTTACTCAACTTTCAATCACTGTTTATGAGAAACATCTTTGATCCAGAAACACAAAACTTTTCACATACTGACATAGTATCTCATTGATACATTAAAACAACAAAAGTTCTATAATGGGCTATATTTTGGATAAAATAAGGGGAACAATTTTGAGTAAATTCTTAACTTAAGTCTGAGAATGCTTTGTGAACTCGGGGGGCCAGACAGTTAAATGGCTTGTAAATGTAATTCAACTACTGTAAAAAAAAAAATAAAAAATAAAAAAACCAATACAAAATATAAATCTTGGCAGATAAATCCACTTAATCAGCAGAAAACAATACCTATCACAGCACACATTGATAATAAATTAATCGTAATTACAACAATTTAAATGTACAGTGTATTTATTTACAGTGTATTTATTTACAGTATGTACAGATAAATTAGAGAATAAAATTTATTCTAAAACATTCAACCGGACTCTCAAACTGATAAAACAATCTGAGAGGGATATTAAATTCTTCCTCATGAAACATCAAAATAAAAAACTTGATTAAATTGAAAACTTGATCCAAATGAATAATCTTTGATTAGACTACTTTTTAATATGAAACTGATCTTTTTTCGAAGAAATACAAACTGAGGTTAGTTATTAATTTGCAAGATGCTATACCCAAGTACCTGGATAACCATAACTGTACATTTGGAAGTTATGGTGGCTAAGTTTTGAGCTGAAATTTTCATACAAGGCCATTGGACTATTTCTTTTGATTTTAAGAGTTGATTTTTATACTAAAAAGACACCTTTATCAACAAATATACCAAATTCCATAAACTGTTGCTTTAAATTAAATATACCTTATGTACAATAATAATGGTACAAACAATTGATAAAAATATGTGTGGGTGTAGATTATTAGTGAAACATGTTTAATATTATCCTAAATCTTATAAAGATGTTTTGCTCATGGTGTTGGATGAGAAAGTTCAATGGGATTTTCCGACGTACTTTCCCCGCGGTCCTGTGTACACATTGACGTGCACGTAAAAGATCCCATGGCAGTTGGACTTTGATATAACAGTAGGATATAACGCCGGTATGGGCAAAATTTCCCTCATTGCACACTGTATGGCGTTATTCCCGTCTTCAATAGCCCAGTCGGAGCAGAACAGAAGGACATTAAACAGCTTTTCATTTCGTTTATAAAGATTTCTAATTTAATTTATAAATATTATTAATGTTTTAAAAAAAATCTTTTAATGTTAAATACAATTAAGAACTGGTTTAAGAAATTTTTACATCACTGATATATATATATATATATAGTCAAAAACAAACACAACAAATCATCAAAATGCTACCAAACTAATCACAATGTCCAGTGTATAAATATTATAAAAAGACATTTCGAGCAAGTGGGCTTTAAGTCCACTTGACACAAACTAGGTTATTCAACATATATAAATCTCAATAATTCTCGTGTGCATTTGTAACTTTATCAGTCAAAGGAAAGCTGGGGACCTTGAGAAAAACCCATGAGGTTAGGCACACGACTCTACTCTTTGTCTTGTTCAAAATGATCTGAGAAATGATAGTAAGATCACTACTACCACTCACACAGATAAAACTGTTGCTCAGCAGACGGACAATTTGTGGTGTTAAGGGGAGATAATATTCCACTAAGGACTCGAGGCAGGAGCTACACCCCCACCCAACCCCATCATGTAAGGGACTTATTTCTTTAATTTTAGGGCTGTTTGTGTAAAGCCGGGAAAACCCTTACTATTAAATATTTAGATACATGAAATCCTAAACAACACATAAAAATAACTGATGTAATTTAACAAAACAAACTAGAAGCAAAATTTAGTACAAAATATAAATATTACATTTCATCATTAAAGATACATTATGGGAGATTAGATAAAGAGCTGGCAGTTTTCACTATAATGGTTAAAAACTAGGTAATGTAAAGAGAATTTGCTGAAAATTTCATTCAAATTGATCCACTTTGAACCGAGAATTTAGCGATTGAATTTTCGGCCTAGCCTGGATCATCATTACTAAAGTCGGTACGATAAAAAACAGTCTCGATTATCCATTTCATGATTTAATCATGAATGAAAGTTGAGCAGCAAATCGGATCCTAATCCAGTAAATATCACAGGCTAGCATTGACATCGTGAGTTGATTACGGTCTGCATAATTTAATTAATGCTAATTATTAATTTAGATAACATTTCAAGCCTAAAGACCTGCAATAGGTCGATTTAGCTGTTGCATAATATATGTTTAAGAAGGATTAAATATTGACCTTGAAATACAGACCCTTAAGATTCTGAAGTGGTCTGTTCTTAAAGGTTCAACCTTCAACATAAGGAAGCCAATTAAAAATGTCAATATCTATATTACATATTAATACTATTGGAAAACACAGTTAAATGCTGAAAATATAACTTTGAAATATAAAAAGGTAACAAAGTTTTGTTTGATTATTGGCGGTTTGAAAGAGAAGCTTTTGATTGAAAAACCTTGCATATTAAGTACAATTTCATTAAAATATTGTGATTTACCTGAATTATACTTGTATATGAAATTAGAATATTTTGATTGAATAATTCGACATATTGGAAGCCTTTATAATATATACAATCAATAGGCCAATATGAAATTGAGTTGATATTGGAATAATACTGATTTCAATAGGTTCAATGACAAAATGTTGAAGATTTTTAATCTTAAAACAAAACACAAACAATACTGATTGATCTTAAATAATTTATAACCAGCTCTGTTGATAAGGCATTTGAAGAGTGTGAACATCTCTATTGAAAGGGTGGAGAATGGGAGCACTTAAAATCAATATTTAAGATCAAATGACCGAAAATCTCAGTGCACTTGAAACAAATCAAAGTAGTTAATAAATTGTCTCCCTCTGAAAGCTTTAAGTTATGTACATGCACAACTAGCATTATCTGATAAATTAAATTAAGTGTGATTTAACGGTCGAGAGCAACACATTAAGTAGTCCCAAGCTGTTGTTTCAATATATTACGCAATGTCTTACTCTTAAGCTTGAGACCATTAAACAATTTAAAATACAGACACGTGTAGGTGCTTTGCAATGAAATACGTCGCACGCGTCTAAAATTTCAACTAGTACACTTGACACATTGCCATACCATTATTTGAAATAATGGTACGCCAACATCAAAGGGTGATGTCAGTATTTTAACACTGGTTAATCTCTTCAAACCCTTTCAAACAGTTGGTCATAAATAAATTTATTAATATAAATATTTTAACACTAAATACAAACTTAATTTGATAATACTGATGAACACTTCTTAACTGAAATAACTAAAAACAATATATTTTTTAAAATGCAGCTCCTAGAGACCAACGATGGTCAGATTTTCTTCGTCTCATCCTCATTATCTGACTATCGACATCTACCGACATACTTTTACTCTTCAAATCATCACGTAATTTGATATTCGCTAACTTCATTAACCCGATATTTCTACTAGTTGCCGTTAGTGAATGAAGCAGAGAATCGCCACCCTGAAAAATATTTAATTCAAAATTTGTTTAATAGCCCAAATTGATTTCAAATGTTAGTTTGATATTGGTATACACAGTGCAAGGTGGGAGCATTTTGTACACACAGTGGAATTCTAGCCTACTCTTCTTTGATTTCAAGGGCTTCTTTTATGTGCACAGCAATGAGTAAATAGAAGGACTCAAGGAGCTCAATTTTCCATCCCTTCTGAACAGCTAGACACTTTCCTTGTCAGCCTCCCCAGCACAACTGTTGACGAGTAAAGTCCAGACGTGAAAAATCTTTTTGACCCACTCAGGTATTCAAACTCGAGACATTGTAATTGAGAGACCACTCGACTACTTTGTCACAAATGATAAAACACTGCAAAAGAAAGTATATCAAAGTGATCACACGACAGAAAAGTTACTCCAGTTCCAGAAGTCTATGGCTGAACCTGGAAATTGTATACAAAGTTTTCTTTTATGATTGATTTTAGAAGATGGTAATCCGTCAAAACTTGATCCGTAACTGTATTGCTGGTAGAAGGATACTTAATTGAGAACACTACAACCAGCCAACTTGCTCCGGAGTTTGTAATATGTGGCTCATCAGATGAATATTGCCTAGTTTTGTTGGGGTTTTCGTATTTTGCAGGTAGAATTTGGTTTATTAAATGTTCAACCAGCAGCTGCCAGACAGGATACGCCTACATTTTGCAACAGATTGATAGAGAACAAGCTAAAAAAACAAACACGATTTTTTGTACAATCAGGGGCAAAAATCCAGAAAGTTATGGCCCGAAATGTGCAAATATCAAAAGGGACTCAGATCTTTGGGATATAAAGATATGTTTTAAGTTTCATCAAAATCGGATCAAAATTGTGACCTCTAGAGCAGGGCTTCCACTTCAAAATTTTACCTGCCGGTCATTTTTGATAACGCACGAAAACTTTTCAAAGTAAATTTATATTTCATGTTTTTTATTCATGGTAGGGTATTGTGAATTCACGTGTCTATACTACTTTGTCACCATGGGGTGCACAAAAAAAATATATTTGACTTAAAAATGAAATATTAGTAAGGCTCATGATAATTATTTAATAATTAAATATTCCGTTTTGGCTACTTAAATAACGAAATAGTTGAATTGGCCGGAGAAAAACCATTTCAGTAGCTCACACGTAATTAACACGTGCTCTATAGAAAACACACTGACCTGGATAATTTTGAGTTGTAATACAATAACTTTGAAATGGAGATAAATATATAATTATCCATGGCATACATCTCACATTTTTTTGGTTTTAGACTATCTCTTACGGAAGTACGGGCCGCAGAATTGTGACTTAAATCCTAATAATGTATAACTAAATGACTAACGGATAACTAACTTCACGGCTAGCGACACTAGCGCCCCCTAGAATATGGTCGTGTATAAGAGTAACCGTATATACACGACATTTCTTCGACACGTGGAATTATCAATATTGCTGCACAATAGAACTGGAATACGTATTTTTCTTAATTGTTCGGTAAGCAAGTTAACTAATCTCTAGATTTTATTTCAACAATTTCCACAAGGCCGGAATACCGCTATAAACATTTTATTTTTAAATGCATTTTTCTTCCAACACGTACGTTGTTGAGGATTTACGTAATTTCTATGCTGTTTTTATTTGATATGACAGTTGGTTGGATTCGAAGAGCAATACTTCATAGCAATTGCCCTTTTTCGAAGATCATAATAACCTCGTTTACATTGTGCCTGACCGTAATAGCGGTAAACGGCTTTGTTGTTGAAAATTCTTATGACACGTGGTCAATACGTGAATGATTAACAATGGGCCGCTTCACGCCGTTGATTAGATTCCCACTTATCAATTAACATTTATTGTTCTACTACCAGATACTCATCATTAATTATCAACACAACACTCAGTATAATCTGTTGACGACTATATATACAACTCTATAACACCAATCATGAGATTGGCTTCTAGACGACGTGCATTCTTGTATAGTTACACAGTCATGTTTGAAATTTTTTTTTTTTTTTAAAAAAAAGACCCTCTTTCCGGCGTGCAAAATGACCGTTAGGTCAGATTTAGGAACGGTCAATTTCAATAGCCGTAGGTCTCGACCGGCATATACGGCCGACGTGGAACCCGTGCTCTAGAGGGTCCACAACCTTTGTATTACACACTTCTACACAATTTGCATACAAAGAGCGGCCATTTTGTCGGGCAGTTTCATTTTGATTTTCCTGAAATAGGACTTAATCTTCATTATGGTGGAATGTATTTAAACGGTTTTTAAAATCGGAAAAAAATTCTAACCTCTAAAGAATCTGCAAGCTAAAAATGCGATTTTTCGAACAATCAGGGGCTATAATCTAGGAAGTTAAATTTGGGTATCCGCTGTTATCAAAAGGAACCAAGATCTTGGTGTGTAATTTTGTTATATTCACACGATTTTTTAAATCGGATAAAAATTGTGACCTCTACAGGGACCACAAGCTAAAAACGTGATTTTTTGTTCAATCAAGGGTTATAATTCAGGAAGTTACGATCCGATATGCGCGAATATCGACAGGAACCAACAACTTTGATATACCAGATATTGTTTACACTATTTGTGTACGAGGGGTGGCCATTTTGTCTGGCAATTTTCGTCCGATTTTCATGAGACTCAACCTCAGACAAAATTACGGTGTAATGGTGATATATTCGAACGTTTTTTTAAATCGGATAATAATTGTGACCTCTCTATGGACGACAAGCTAAAAACTCGATTTTTCGTAAAATCAGAGGCCATAATTCGGGAAGTTACGATTCGACATGCACGAAAATAGAAAGGAACCAAGATATTTGGGTTATAAACTTGCATTCTAAATTTCATCAAAATCAGATGACAATTGTGACCTCCAAAGGGTCCACAACCCTGATACACAATATTTTGACACTATTTGCGAACGAGGGGCAGCCATTTCGTCCGTTAGTTTCGGTCTGATATTTACGAAATTCAAACTCAACCATCCTTAGGGTGTAACGGTAATATATTCAAACGTTTTTTTAAATCTGATAAAAATTGTGACCTCTATTACACAAAAAAACAAATACACGGACAGGACATCATACTCAGGAAAACACAAACATACAGACAATTAAAAAAAAGTGAATGGATCCCGGGGCTAGCCGTAAGCGTCCACTGCGCTGTATGGGGTCCACAAGCTAAAAACGCGATTTTTCGTACAATCAGGGGCCATAATTCAGGAAGGTATGGTTCGAAATGCGTGAATATCAAAAGGAACCGAGATCTGTGGGTTATAAACATGCATTTCAAGTTTCATCAAAATCAGATGACAATTGTGACCTCCAGAGGGTCCACAACCCTGATATGCAATATTTTGACACTATTTGCGAACGAGTGGGCGGCCATTTTGTCTGTCAATATCGGTCCGATTTTTACGAAATTCGAACTCAACCATCCTTAGGGTGTAACAGTGATATATTCAGTGATATATTCACACGTTTTTTTAAATGGGATAAAAATTATGACCTCTATGGGGTCCACAAGCTAAAAACGTGATTTTTCGTACAATCAGGGGCCATAATTCAGGAAGTTATGGTCTGATATGCGCGAATATTGAAAGGAACCGAGATCTGTGGGTTATAAACATACATTTCAAGTTTAAACCAAATGGGATAAAAATTGTGACCTCTACAGTGTTCACAAGCCAAAAATGCAATTTTTCGTACAATTAGGGGCCATACATGCCAATATCGGAAGGAACTGAGATCTTGGGGTGATAAACCTATATTTCAAGTTTTGTTGAAATCGGATAAGAATTGTGAGCTGTAGAGTGTTCACAAACAATTGTGGACGGATGTCCAGACGGACGACAATATACTTCCACATGAAAATGTGTGCGTATAAAAAACAGCCTGTGTCCCCCTTTTCAGGGCTGGCCCATGTTGCCCCGGAATGCCTGATAGGCATGTGGTTTTATCGTATCACTCATATGCTCCTATATCCAGAAATATATAGTTTGTCTCTAGATATAGTTTCGTTTGGTGAAATAATGGCCCTCAACCGCCGCTAACAAGTTAAAGGGCCATTTTGTCTGGCATTTTGGATTTTACTATTATCTAATCACCTCACAACATAATGAATGATTTCAGTGTAATCCTTGACTCTAGAAACATACAATTAGACACCAAAATTATCATCCTAGACTAAATACTATGGGGGTTATAGGGGATCATTTGAAATGACCCCGTCTTGGACACCATCTTGAATTTCTCAAAACACTTAAGGGTGATCGAGGTTCACCCGGCAGATTCTGAAAGAGGACACCATAGGCTACTAAAATCAATCATAAAAATACTTTGTATACAATTACCCGGTTCCCTCGAAATATTGGGTTTGGCGATCAGACTATTCTGTCAACGTGATCAAATTCCTACCCTAGACATTATATAAGTATTATAACATATGGACCATTACCAAAATCAGACTTTCTTTGTGAACGTCACAAAGTTGAACTTCTTGCAAACAAAAGCGGGGGAATTGGTACTCAATTATGTAGTTAAATGTACTCCAGTCACCTTTTCTGGTTTCACTCAAAAGATGCCAGAGGAAATATTTGTAACTTACCCGAATGATTTCTTGTGCTTCAGGTAATTGAGTACCAGGATGTCTCTGGAAAACCCTGACTAAAGGTCGATCCAGTCTTTCTCTTGTAGTTAAATCAGCCGACATGACTGGACCCTGTGAAAATAAAAAATGATAACATTTTAAACTTTTCTTGTTTTAAAGAAATTGTCCATTCAAAGACCTCAGTTTTCATACAATATTTATTGATAAGCAAGCATGAATTCAGCAAAGGAATTAGGAATCGATCCTTCTCATACATAATTACTTTTTATTTTAGTACATGTAGATTCAATCTGATAATAAGTTGGACACTACTACTTCAGCGGCATTTACACGATACAACCAATTCATACAACCATCTGATGCAACATGTCAGGAGGCTGTTCACACAATACAATGGTTGTATGTTTCGTAAGGCAAAATGATGGATTGGTTATATCTTGTTTACGGCAAATAGACACAGGGGCATTTTTAATCATACAAACATCGATGAAAGGAGAAAAGTGCACAAGTTAGACCACTCGGTCACAGACATATGGAGCCAATTTGAATATAACTCAATATCTGTGTTTATTTGTTGGTGCTGTGTGATCCTTCTGCACTAAATATAATATTATACTTACCACCGAGTTTCCTCTGGCTTTATCTGTAGCATCGTACCATCTCTGGGCTCGATGAATACCATGACGATTCTCTCCTAAACCAACTCCTAGATGATGCTAAAAATAAAATTAATATTAGTTTACTTGCTGAAATAAAGAGTAATTTATCTCAGTGGTCACTTTTACAATTTAATGGAGTCAACCTCCCTACTGTCACTGACAACAGCATAATAATAGGAATGGAGATTAACAGCTCGTCAACACAATACTTCAGTCATTTTGAGACTAACAAATGGTTATTTTCTTCTATGGTCACATGTGTAAAGCTAGAGAAGAGATTTTTACCTCGACAGAGAGCATTTCCAACTACTCTTTTCACTAATATTATGAAAAATGTATTTGCCCACTTTTTTATATGGAAAGGTAATATGGGTCCCATATGGAAACCTCATGCTACCATCTGGGCCAACATCCTACCATCTGGGCCAACATCCTACCTTTCCCCCATATGGTTCCCATATTTCAATGTTTAATATAGGGTGGCATGTTGTTCGAGTTATCACTCTTATATAGCAATTATTCTATCAAAAGAATTTTAATTCATGAATATTATATATGAAGAGCGAAAATACAAAGCACTGTCTATCCATTTTAGTTATTTCGAGTAAAAGGAATTATGTTTTCTTGTTTCCGGTTACATTGTAATAATCTAGACTTACCTTAAGAGTAACAGTTTCAGCAATTTTCTGTGTCATACCATCATTAACAGATTTATGGGCGGCTTTCTGTAGTTTCTCAGATCGGTCTATGGCGTCTTTCAATTCTCTACGAAGATAAAGTGATCTAGATCGAGCCTCACTAGCATCAGCAAGAGCAGAATCTGCTTCAGGCGTATATGGACCAAGGGGATCAGCTTGACACGCTCCAAGATGACTTCCGTCAAATCGAGACATGCGTCCTTCAATCATACTTCTGCTTCGTTTTAGTTTAAGTTGTTCCTGATTGGCTGTGTTAGTTATTGATGAGTTAGCGAGACATAGTAGATCTAGTACACGTGATCTTTCCTGTAATGTAGCAAACAACCGTTTCCTCGCTTGATCTAAAGTCTGCAATTCAAAAGCAACAAATTCAAAGTAAGGTGAATTTCAGGGCCAGATTAACAAATGGGCTTCAGAGGCTGCAGCCCACATGGTGGAATGGGTTTAATGTATCATCAACACCATACTTCAGTTTTTTTCTGTGCAATATGAGAATTTTACCCGGACATCTGACTTTTGTTGATTTCCAACTGTTAAGGGTTCTTTTACGAGCAAACGGTTTTGTACACAGCCGGTGGATGTCGGTTCTTGTATTATCCAAACTTCTAGGCACACATTCCTAGTCAGCATTGCAGGTGCCACCCCTGACAAGTGAAGTTCGGACTTTGAATATCATGCAGATTATTCTCGGCCCATGGCTGATAAGAATAGTTTTAATACAACTGACAATGGAGTTTGGGTTTGTAATGATGTATTCTTTGAACTTCTCCAGGAAAACAATGATTATTGAACCATTATTATGTTCATTTCTCTTGTTGTGAAGTATCGTATCTCGGGTCACATGTGAAAGACTCACATTCCGAGCGCCACCATGCTGTCCTTGTCATATTGTGAACATTTATTTGGTGTATTCAATTAGTATAATGTGATCGCACAAGGTAATAAAATTCTGATGCATATGTTGCTAAAAATAGATAGAGCCTATGCACCATTGGTTAATTTAACTGAAATGAAAAGTAGAACTCTCGCGAGACGTGAGAAATTACGAGAGATGGCATGTGAAAATTTCCAATGTGAATAATTCCGGAAGAAATAGATTATATTTTGACGGAATTTTCAAGCGTTTATGATTATAATATTTTGAAAAGGGGTTACTTTTTTAAACAAAATTTATACAAGCTATATATATTTAGAAATGTCGACAAGTATTTCCATTGGAATACTGTATGTACTGTAGTTATAGACGAAAGTAGAAGTTTGACTTGACCGTACGACTACGAAAGCTATTATTTAGCAGACGATGTTTATTATCATTTATGTAACCAAGAATGGCCCCTTACACACAGTTTTTGATCTTCAGAACCATTTCCAATACAAACAACTAATCACTCTCCTTAATATCAGATCATTCTCCTTAATTTCTAAATCGCTCTTCTTATCGAAACTGGGAGAGCTTTTTTAGGGGAGCAATTTTTTCAATTTGTTCATTAAAGGGAGCTTTTTTCGGCTCTCCTCTAAAATACAAAAAACAACGACTTTGTTTACTTCAAAATTTCCGAACTTATAGCTATGTTATCTACAGACAAGTGAGCAGTAGTGTCCAATCAGAGATTGTGACATCGCGACCTCCACCGAAACCTTGACATTGAATGAACCTTGAACTTTGCAACTCGATTATCACAGTTAGACATTTTAGCTTGAAAGCGCGAGCCTTGGTATTCGCCATGATCAAGAAATCTGATAGGCTCACAAGCTGGGCTTGTCTTGTACCCAATCGAAATTAGTGCCGAAATATGCAGGGTATTACGTGAAGGCCTTGATAAGATGTACGTAGTTAAAGCGAGATCAAGCCTTCTATTGAAGATGGAGGGTCCACAGCCTTGATATACCAGATGTTTACAGCATTTGCGTACATGGGACGGCCATTTTGTCCGGCAGTGATATATTTCAATATTTTTTTAAATTGGATAATAATTGTGACCTCTAGAGGGATCGCAAGCTAAAAACATAATTTTTCATGCAATCAGGGGCCATAATTCAGTAAGTTACGATCTGATATTACGTGAATATCGAAAGGAACCAAGATCTTTGGGTTATAAACATGCTTTTCAAGTTTCATCAAAATTGAATCAAAATTGTGATCTCTAGAGGGTCCACAACCTTGAACTTGATATATCAGATGTTTACACTATTTGCGTATGAGGGGCAGCCGTTTTGTCTGGCAGTTTTGGTCCGATTTTCACGAAATTCTAACTCCACCAACATTACGGTGTAACAGTGATATATTTGAACGTTTTTTTTATAAATCGGATAATAATTTTTTGTACAAACAGGGGCAACAATACAGGAAGTTGCGATCCGATATGCACAAATATCGAAAGGAACCAAGATCATTGGGTTATAAACAAACATTTCAAGTTTCATCAAAATTGGGTGAAAATTGTGACCTCTAGAGTGTCCACAAGCTAAATATGTGATTTTTGGTACAATCAAGGGCCATAATCCATGAAGTTATGGTCTGATACATGCCAATATCGAAAAGAACCGACCTATATTTCAAGCTTCGTCAAAATCGGATAAAAATTGTGACCTGTAGAGTGTCCACAAACAAATTGTGGACGGACGTTTTACGCACAGGAGCGACAGCATAATACGTCCACATGAAAATGTGGGCGTATAAAAGAGTCCATCTTCTTAAAAACTAATTAAAAATACTTGACTGGAGACGAGTTTATCTTGGGGATAAAAGGACTATTAAAAATAAAGGTTAATATGTGAGTGGGTGTCAGGAAGGTTATCTGTCTGAACAGTGTTTCTATTTTAGGGCTCATGTGACAAAAGGGGACAGTAAAACAATGGTGTACCTTTAATAATTATACTTATTTTCCACGTGTCATAAAATAATTTATACACAGATATAAATTAACAAAAAATTAAATAAAATATGTGACTGAAGAACCATGTGGAAATTATGAGTAAAGTATAATTTTCAAGACCCTTTATTATTAATTCTTTCTGTAATGGGAATCAAGCTATGAAAAACAAATGACGAAAAAAAAAATCTCTGATCTCGTGAGATCCATACACCTTAGCCAAATCACTTTGCATAAGTTTTAAATATTCTGGTAAACCAATAAGCATCAGTGGTCATATTAGAACAGTCCCATCATTCAAATCCTGATTTTTAACATTAAAATTATATACAGTAAATCATTAATAACAAGAGAACTCTAAATTATATAACGTCACTCATATGTGCAGGACCATCTCTGATCTAGCGTTCTCCATAATAACATTGGTAGTCACTATACCGTTCATCTTGTAAATTTTGTTTCACATACAATGATACATCTAGAATTATCATTTAATATTCAAATTTTGTCACAATGTGTAGGCCTTCAATTAACAATATAGCTACATTATTGCTCCCCGCTTCATTAGTCTAATTTGTGCAGAAAATAAGGATGTTATTGTTAGAACCCTTGTTTTCATTTCTACAATATTGCTATACTGTACCTGTAACTGCTGTTGTACCAGTTTTAGTTGAGCTTCCAGAGCTTTTTTACAGTTCAATAAATGAGCTCGTTCAGCATTTAACAAATCATCGGCTCCATCCCGCTCCTGAAAATACACAATTACATTTTACTATAGGTTGTTGACACCATAGACTAAAATGAAAAAAATTGATATGGCCAGAGTTTCTACCCTGTTTTATACTTATAAATAGATCAGAATAAGTACAACTTTATCAACCCAAATCAGGAAATCTCATTAAAAATAGGGGTCACATAGAATGTTGATTTTACTATTTGTAAAGTGTCATTATGCAGCTGTTAAAACTTGCCTACTGCCTATCAAAGGTCTGACAATCCAGACTTTATTATAATGGAAATAATACTTGACAATCGTGAATATAAACTGTGGGCAGGGTTTGTGACTTTGATCAGAATAAAGTAATTTGACTGAAATTTTTAATATATTCATTATTTATTTATATTTTTTTTTTAACTATTATCTAGCGAAAACAGACAGCTCTTTCTGTAATTCTTGATGTATCTTTAAATGCTATCTGAATATTTGATTCGATTTGATGCTTTTTCAAATTTCTAAATATTGTGCATGTTTCAAATAATGCATTTCCATGAGAAATTTTATATTAATAATTTATTACAATAAAATAATATATGGTTACAATAAAATAATAAATTATTTGTTGATAAGGCTTATATAGTTTACATATTAAAGATGCATTATGAAGAGCTAAATCTAACAATGTTTATCATCGAACTCCATCAAGGGCATTCAACTAATGAACGCCTGCACCACGTTTGATCATTCTACCTCAACTAGAAGGAGAGTTATTGTGTTCCAAAGTCTCGATCAATCAAATTGCTTATCGCTCTGCTTACCCTAAGCAGAAAATGCTTATTATGGAACTTAGTCAAGGTATTGATGTGATAAAAATATACATCAAGTGTCCTCACGCTCACTTAATTAGAACTGAAGTTATTGTCCCAAAGCATCAACCAATCAAATTGCTGATCTCTGCTTACCCTAAGCAGAAAATTCTCATCTTCTAACTCCAAACTCCATCAAGGCATTCACTTAATAAACACCTACATCAAAAGTGAACATTCTAGCTCAAAAAGAATGAGAGTTATTGTGTTCCAAAGTCTCGACCAATCAAATTGCTTGTCACTCTGCTTACCCTGAGCAGAAAATGCTCATTATTGAACTTTGTCAAGGTATTGATGTAATAAAACTATATACCAAATTTCATCACTATCACGTAATTAGAACTAAAGATATCGTGTCCCAAAGCATCAACCAATCAAATTGCTTATCTCAGCTTGCCCTAAGCAGATAATGCTCATCTCCGCATTCCATCAAGGCATTCATCTAATAGACATCTACACCAAGTTTGAACATTCTAGCTCAATTAGAAGGAGAGTTATTGTGTTCCAAAGTCTCGGCCAATCAAATTGTTTATTGCTGTGCTTACCCTGAGCAGAAAATGCTCATTATCAAACCTAGACAAGGTAATGATGTAATGAAACTATACACCAAGTTTCATCACTCTCAATTAATTAGAACTAAAGTTATCGTGTCCCAAAGCATCAACCAATCAAATTGCTTATCTCTGCTTACCCTAAGCAGAAAATGCTCATCTTCGAACTCCATCAAGGAATTGACCTAATAAATACCTACACCAAGTTTGAACATTCTAGCTCAATTAGAAAGAGTGCTATTGTGTCCCAAAAAGTGTGACAGACAGACGAACCTATTTTTATAGTCCCTTGCTTTCTTCCAAAGGCGGGGGACAATTATTAATAAAATAACATGACCCTGTGTAATAAGATGCATTTAGACATGAAACAAGACCGTGAATAATATAGTATCACGTCCTATCTGTACAGCCAATAAAATAAAACCTCCATAAATACAAAGTTACAAGTGCCATTGTTTTGTTTTTACATCAAAACAATATTTATATCAGGTCGTGATAACCTTAATCCAACTGATTAATAAATAACCCATACATTGATTATTTAGAATTACATGTTGACATATCAGTTGTTCTAGAAGGTGTATCATACACTGCAATGTTGGGTAGAGTACCTGTTATTGCATGATGATATATGAAAGAAAATCTTTGTGACAAAGTTTATTTCAAATAAACTGAACAAAATCCTTCAATACAACTAGATCGGGTTGAAACTAACATATGGTAAACCTATGTCAATAACTTTTTTCCATGCTATGACTCCACTTCTTGTCAGGGTTGATTCTAGCCTTCATTCAAAGTCGTTAATAAGGGCAAGATTAATGAGCTTGAAGGATTACAGACCAATTAATCAATCAGATCAATTATTGATTGAATCACTAGTTTGTAACACTTTAACCCAACACTTTGATTGGATACAGGCAATTGTTTGGTAAACAAATTATATGAACACTACACTAACATACTTTTAATAAAAAAACTTGTTCCATGGCTTACTACTGAAAAAATAAAGCCATGAAAGATTTTTTAATTCCCCCATCACTGATTGTATGACATTACAACTTATTATTACAATGCGGAACTTTGTCTGGCTTTTCCACATAAAAGAGACAAATGGAAAAAATAGATAATTTTATTCATCTAAAAAAAAACCCAAATCATAAACATCAGAATGCAAATAAAAGGAAATTTTAATGAATGCCAATCTTAATTTCATAGTTTTTAAAATTCATTGGTAAATACAACCCTAGATTTAAAAAAAAAAAAAAAAAAAAAAAAAATTAAAATCTAACATTTTTTCCAATAATAATAATGTGTGATAGGATTCTTATAATTTCTGAAAACCTGTATTAACAGTGATCTTGTTACAGCAGTATTACTTTTCGCCCCTTCAAAACACGAAAGTCGAAAAGTCGAAGTTAAGACAAAATGTGAGGCAAAAGCAAGCTATAAAAAAGCTAAAATGGACTCAAAAATATGAAAATAAGAAATAATACACTGCGATAATACGCCCATTTTTTTCTAATTTCTAATTTCGGACTTGCATTTTGGCTTGTGTACCGGTACCGTCTTGTCGATTTTTCTACTTTTTATATTTTTATATTTATTCCAATTGGTGGAGAAAAACTATGAAAATATTTTTGTATAAAAATTATTATCCGTTTTGGCGGGAAAAAATGGAAGTCAGTGTGAGCCCTGATTGCGCATATTCAAATGTCACCTGGAAAATTGAGACTACAACAACTTCCGAGGTGAAACTCGAAAAGTCGACAGTACGATAGCAAGCCAAAATGATAGGTCGCTAATAGCATGGTGTGTTAATTTCCTAATTTCTACTTTTCGAGTTGCATTTTGGCTTCGTATGCGTGTTGACACCTTCTTACTGCCATCAATAAATACAAAAATATGGCTAATTTGGAAGTCGACAATACGGTATACACGGCAAGTCGAAAATTAGAAATTATAGTTTCCTATTTTCGAGTCGATTTTGGTTTGTATATTGTGCTATCGCCACACATTTTGTCGTAACTTCTGAAGTTATAGGCTTCTATCGAATAGAGTTTTCATATTTACATTTTTTTCACAATAGTTTGAATATATTTTTTCAGCCAATGGCATGGTTAAGTATTGACTCTCGACTGATGAAGAAATACATCCTAACAAAAAAACTCATATTGTTTAAGCTTATATCGTTAATTACGAAAAAAACAATGAAAAATGTTTCAGAAACGGCAAGCTAAACTAAGATGGTTTACTGCTCTACCAGTAAATAAACAAAAAATACTACCGGTATTATTAAAAGCTGATAAATTGAAACGAAAAAATTTAGTAAGGTGGTCATGTAAAAAAAAAAAAAGTTCATAAAAATAAATGGGTTTTCTATAATTAATTCTATTTAATACAGAGCAGAGTACTAAAAAATTTATCTTACCAATCTATAATATAAGCATACACTTATGGCAGACCATGGCTAAAATAATTAAATTTAGTAATATTTCTAAACATACTGTGGCTGTAGGCAAGATGGAAGACATCAGTAGGCCTAGTGGAACCATTTCTAGGGATTCCTTTCTCTAAATGATGCATCAAGCCAGCCTTGTGCATATTCTTCCTTTATTGTATGTTGGCCATAATTAACTCACTTTTTGTAATTAATTTTGAAAATCATATTTCTATGACCTTAACTTCAATTCACATATTTAATTATCGAAAATCCAAGCACTGAATTGCATAATGCAAGATATTTTAAGCGATCATTAAATTTGAAAACCCTTGCATAAAATGTGCATTTCAACAATGCTTGGCAGATTTGTCTATTAAGAGCTAATTCTGCCTACCGGATATTACTATTAATAATTACGGGTCTTTTATCTGGCAATACAAATTATTATTTAAGACCGGAAAAGCCCATAATCAACTCTCTAGGCCAGTTGATGGCTGAGATATTAAATGGATTACAACACCTGCAACATTTAATAATTTTAATGCTGCTAAAATAAATAATCAAGTTTTTGTTTATTATCGTAGCAATGGTAATTGAAATATTCAGTACTCGTTTTTAAAAAACTATCTATCTATAGCAAGAACGACCAGGACAACATAATGTAAGCTTATCTTTAATAAGAAATTGTGCCCAGGCCCACATATATAATTTAATTATGTGTATGTCCGATGTAAACCTATGTTCAAATCACAGGAAATCGAATATCATAATCATAATCATAATCTTACTTTATTTTTACCTAGATCTACCGGGGAAACACTTTCAAAGTGATAATAATATCTCGTATCCAAAAGATTTCCTCATTTTTATTCATTATATTTTACAAAGTGGCTATTTTTACGGGACCGTAATGAATATCATGTATGTAGGCTATTTTTATGGCCACAAGACCCTTAAAACTATTAAACAATTGGAAGCTAACCCTACAAACCCTAAAAAATAAGCCAAAGATTTTTGTCCACGTCACTGCCGTAAAAGTAGCCCAAAGATTTTTGTCTATGTACAGAACTAACATACGACTGCTGCACTATTATAATTGACATGAGCAAAATTCTCTACTGTCGGAACCGTGGTAAATTTTAAACAGATTTCTTCGATTGTGAACAAACTACTGAATAATTGACTTAATTGTTATTAAAATCTTGCTTATGTATTTGATATCACCTCCGATTGAATAAAATCCATTGCACAAAGTTCTCTCTTGAAAAGTCAATGTTTTTGCTTGTATTTTCGACTGTGTCCATCACAACTTTACACATGTCACGTGATAGCTAACTAAACCATCGTTATATGCTGAAGGGGGAAAAGGTTGACAAATTTTGACAATCACGAATGTTGTAAGCAAAACAGCGCACAACCTTTTCGATCGTTTGAGTTTGGGCAACAAAAATAGCAAATAAAGACAATAACATTAATTTGATTGTCAGTCTACTAAATTTTATTCACAATGATATATCACTGATTATACGAATAATTATAATATTGCTTTTCACATCATCATCACCCCATAATTGTAAATAGGCCTACCCTGTATATAATTATTTCTATAAATTATATTACATCCCTGTCAATTATAGGCAACTTTGTGGCTAACATTTATAAATAAACACGCTTTATTTCATAATTTTAATTGATCATATATATTATTATTATATATATTCCATTACGGGGTTTAATTAGTCCATTTTTCAAAGTTTTATGATTACCATGAAAAATATGAAAAAGGGTCACCGCTTTTTAATAATTTCCATATTTAATTCACATTCTGACTGTTCATGTCAATAGTATTCCTGATTAAATTACTTTTTTTTTTGTTTATTCGACAGATACTGAAATCGAAACATTCGTGTAAGAACAGTTTGGGATGTCTAAACATCGTTTTTATAAAAATGTATTTAAAACAAAAAAATCACTATTAATTTTGCTGAGGCAAATGTAAAATACATCAGCATTTATGGATTTACCTCGGCTACAGCAGATTGACAAAGTCAATTGACAGGACTGCTCAAGTTCATCAGGAAATATTAAAGATATTCAAGGGTGAGATTCAAGGCCAGTAAAACAAATGTCCTTCTTTTTGTTCTGCACTTGTGTTTAAAAGAAATAATCCTACCCAACTCTCTAACCAAATAATTAATACAAGACTGAAACAAAATAACGTACTACGGGTGTATTTATGTTTGTAAACGCCTAAACTCATTACTGGGTCCGAGAGCAATAGCTTATATATACAAAATTTTAACTGTTGTAAAAGAGCCAAACACTGTTATGATAGATAAGCCTTGCTTCGACCCCCTTATACGAAATGATCTAATTAGCTTCCATTTTTGTATTTCTCAATGTCAAGTTTGTTTGTGAGAAGTTCAATTTTACAAGACAGAACTTTTTTTTATTCGCTGGGATATTTAGTTGTACAATGGATTTTATTTATGGTAGGTAATTTCAAACACACAGGTAAGTTTATAATAACCAAAGTTTTAAGTAGTTTGTTCATAATCGAAGAAATCTGTTTAAGATTTACGACGGTTCAGACTGAGTAAGTCAAATATTTTCACTATGGCTATGCACATGAGTGATGGGAAGAGCTGTAAAAAGATATTAGTACCACTGTAAATCATTACAGGTCAACAAAAATAGCCACTTTGTATATTTTATGTAGATCTAGATCTATTATTTAAAGGAGCTAAATCGCTAACATTTGGGACCTAGAAATTCACAAAAGTGGGTCGCAACGCATATAATACTGTAATATGAATGTATATAAACTGATTTACATTTAATGGTTTCCGTTTTTACTCCAATTTCAAATCGGTTATGTTCGGCGAAATAAGTCAGCAATCTCAATCGAGTGCAAATTTCTAGCGTCTAGTTATTCTAGTCTACATAACTCCATTTGATTTGGTCATATGATTTGGTGCTATGTGTCTAGCCTCGTCCCTCGAGTCTCTCAATACCACTGGGGCTGAAGCGCATTATGGTTCACGATTCGTGTACCAATGTTAAAAAAATTATTTTATCTTAAATATCGGATATCAGAAGCTCATCTTTTCCCGGTAAGTTTACATCATCAATGTTGATTTAAATTGACCAATAATTCGTGTTTTCGATGTCGAAGATTTTGGAGGATTTTGAGTTACGGACTCAGCTCCTTTAATATTTGTCAAAAAATAAAAAAAAAGTTAGAATACCCTTTCTCTGCTTGGTCGTGATAATCGAATTTCTTGACTGTTTTTGTTGAGTTGAATATCTTTTCTTGTGTGTTCCAGAGCTTTTTCCAAGGCTTCCTTACCACGAGTGAGGGATTTTATTTCTTCATTTGCCTCCAACAAACTTTCCCGCAATTGAGAAACCACAACTCTGACATCTCGGGAATACCGACGGATTTCTTCGTTGCTCAACTGAGCGACTGTATCCCGCAAATGAGGTAGCGGGTCAAGAGCCCGTCCGATGTCATTACTTTTGTCGCTTTTTTGAACGATTGACTGGGACAATTTCAAACTTTTTAAAGTTGAATTTCTCCACGCTTCTGCACCGATAGAGGTTGCGGGTTTTGTTGTCAGCATCTTGAGAGTTATATACTTAAAATATTGAGGCAACTAACAGCACTGTGACATCTGACAAACAATCGGAGAACTTTAAATCACCGTGAATGCAATCACTGGATTTTATTGCTTTATCCCTGGCGTCGATATCGCTTTACGTTGTCCCTGACAACAAACTTCGCGGAGTATTTCCGGTAGTGCAGCGCTAATAGATATCGATTTTATAATTCAATAACTCTTGATCCGCTTAGTTGAACCAAAACATGTTTTAGTCAATTAAAGAATGTTATATATGACAACATAAGAATCTTCATAAGAATTTATTCCTGTTGAAATTTTATACAAAATGGGCGGGGCTGTTTTTATGATTCACTGCTAGTGCTATCCCGCATAAGCAGACGAGGTGAAAGATCACGGGATAAATTTGCTACCCGTCAGACGTGAGTTACGTTGTTTAAACACACCTTAAAAATTAATCAACGGAGATACAATTAAAATTCTTGTTGAACATATTATTTTAATGGATTAACTAAATGACATGTCACCAGATGGACGCTGGATCGAAAAAGGGGTTTGTTAACGACCTTCACCCTTTTATATTTGGTTCAACTTAAAATGACGTCATGAAGTTTTACTGTGGTCTAGTGACGAGAAGGAAGGTGGCGACAGATCCGGGAAAATCTCTACTTGTATTCTAATGACGGGATTTAATTTTAGTATAACCAAGTGCTTGCTTATATGACTGCCTCGATTGGCATGGCTTCAATTTCATCATGGGGTACACAATTGTCGGGAAATCAGTGTTACACCGTCACGGACGAACCGTCATCATGGAAGCGGCAAGTTGATAAACAGAAATTAAATAGTGATAGTTCATCAATGAATGGTGTCCATGATGATGGTAATCTTAATTCTAATACAAATATGCAAGATTTCAACCATTATCATACAATGAATACCAAGGGTGTGAACAGTAACGGTGAATTGGAGATAGCAGGTGGTGAACATTTAGTGGATAAACATAATATTGTTTCTGTCAGTGAAAACCCTTTCTTCAAATCTTATGGGAAAATACGATCAAATCATTCACGAAATGAGTACCGATCAGACCGTGTACATTCCGATAGTGCAGCCTTGTCTCCTAGACCCATGTTAGGAAAAGAAAACGACAGTATTTTTACAAATCCACAGCCAGAGGAAGATGAAGAAGAAGTGGAATATCACCCTGGATCAGGATTTGTTACTAAGTTATTAGGGAAGTTTAAAAAATTTGAAAGAGAAACATCTAAAGAAGACAAGCACCCTCCTATCAAAAGATCAGCAAGTTTGGAAAATATACTCAGTGATCGTCCAACATCAAATCTAAAAAATGTGAAAACTGTTAAAAATGAAAATGTTGCTGCTGTGATAAAACAGGGTAACTTAGGTTACCGAACAAAAAGCGTGGAACATATTAATCAAACAATAAAACCGGTAGCGATTAGAAAAGCTCCGGATGCTAAACTTGGTCGTAAAGATATTGTGATAATAGAATCTGAGAAAGGGGAGGTGACTTCAAATGAACAAAACGGAACTACTACAACAACCACCATGGTGACAACAAGTTCTGGCAGATCTTCACCTCATGGGTCTATAACTGTTCTAAAAGATGAAATCAATGAAGTTAATGAACTTCCAAAACCAAATACTGTCACAAATACCAGGAATATATTTGAATCCTCAAAATCAGTTCCAAAGAAGAAAGTTCCACAGAGACCAGCTAATGTGCCTAACTCTAAGATTTCTGCTGTGGCACCAACAAAATTAAATTCCACAAACCTTAAAAATTCCAGTTCAGTGTCAAGTTCCAGAGAAAAGGCGGCTATAGATGTTAATAAAAACAACAATGCTCAAAAGTCAAAAGATGTTCCGACAAAGATTGTTCATGAAGTCCCAGCTACTACCAGAAGTTTGCTACCACCAATAACTACAGCAAACAAACATAAAAAATCCAGCCCTATTGTTACTGTTGCTCCTTATAAACCCAGGTCTGAAGAGAATTACACCACACAGAGTTCTGTACCCTTACCTCAAAAACCAGTTGCAACACTGCGGCAAGTTGATAAAAAACCTGCACCACCTAAACCAAGACAGATGACATATAATTCTCGTAAAGAAGTCAAAGAAACGAAGATGTTGGAGGTGAATCATGTGAATGCCGTCAATACAGAGAATAAAGAAATAAATGACATTAATTTAAACAAAGACGAAGTCAAGTCTTTTAATGACATCAATTTAGTAACAAGTGGAGTTTCGATAATAGCAAATTCAAACAATAGCGAAACTAATAAATATAATTCTGACAAACTCTTTAAAAACTCAGATAAAGAACTTGATAAAAACTCTGATGAGCCAAATAAAAACTCTGGTGACATTGACGAGCCTATAAAGGGTATACCTACAATTATAGCCAACAGAATGAAAAAGGAAAATTCAGAGTCAAGTAACACCAACTCTAGTCATAGTTCATCATCTGCAGATTTGTTTAGCTCAGGTACTTTAAACAACATGCAAAACAATAACATTAATAATCCTACAAAAAAACGGCAAGCACCTCCTGTACCTGTAAATTCTAGCATAGTAGAGCAAGAGAGAGCAAGAGACCAATCGCCAGAACCTAATCAAGAGTTGTCTCCTCGTCAAAATCTTCATAACATGCGTAGTAAAAATACCGATATCGGTGGACCAGCTATGGTGTTTGATAGTAGTATGCTGGCCAAGAAAAAACGTAAACCTGATAACACAAACAATAATGGTGTTCCAAAATTGGATTTAACAAGTATTATTGATGGTGGTGCTGGGGTTTACCAGGAGGGATATAAACCTGTTGTGATCAAGCCATGTAATATTATATTCATTGGTGCTAATATAATTACTGGACGATCATTACTGAAGAAAGGAAAATCTACTCGGGTAGGTTTTATTTTAAAGTTTGTTGTAAAAATAGAGTAGATGCTACACTCGTACAATGTACATTGTACATGCATGTGACAGTTGACTAGACAAACAATTTGTTAAATAGTACTTAGAAGGTCCACGCTCATCACCTTTCATGATCATTGTAATGTACAAATCCCTTTGGATGTATAACCTAACCCTAACCCCTAAACGTATATTGTTTAGGGTTTTTTTTTCATTTTCATTTTTACATGTAGGTAATGTTCCCCTAGTTCAGCTCTGAACTTTAAATATCATCACTTTAATAATCCTGGATGATAGCAGGATTTTGACAGTGAAAAATGACACACCTTGTTAGTATTGATTCATTTTTTTGAACAAATGAACTTAAGTTTATTGACAATTCTGTCAAAAAAAATTGGGTGTCGAGGCACACATGAGTCAGGGAAGTCAGAACTTTAGTTCAGCTCTAAACGTACATGTAGGTCTCAGTATACTCACCCTGTACGTTCACGAACCGCCCTACTGTATCCTTGTCGAAAAACTCTTGAACCCCGGTCAATTTTACTGGGCTACTTTTTATTGCTAAACGGTCAAGTGTCAGACCCTGTGAACACATGTACAATGTAAAGGAATATTTGAGTGAGAAAATAAGACCTTGCTTACCTCGCTAGAGTCAGTACATGTATGTGTGACACAACATGCTGTTAAAAATACCTCCCCTTCTGCTAAATATTGTACAGGCATTATGGAATTTATGCATTATTTGAATTAGTGAAACGATAAAGCCAGTCAAATTTCAACAATTTCTGTGGATTACTTCCAGTGTTATGGCCCTTATTTTAGTTTTTAGAACATGCTGTTAAAAATACCTCCCCTTCTGCTAAACAACTTGGCAGATGCCATTAAAATCTAAATATTGTACAGGCGTTATGGAATTTATGCATTATTTGAATTAGTGAAACGAAAAAGCCTGTCAAATTTCAACAATTTCTGCAGATTACTTCCAGTGTTATGGCCCTTATTTTAGTTTTTAGAACATGCTGTTAAAAATACCTCCCCTTCTGCTAAACAACTTGGCATATGCCATTAAAATCTAAATATTGTACAGGCGTTATGGAATTTATGCATTATTTGAATTAGTGAAACGAAAAAGCCTGTCAAATTTCAACAATTTCTGCAGATTACTTCCAGTGTTATGGCCCTTATTTTAGTTTTTAGAACATGCTGTTAAAAATACCTCCCCTTCTGCTAAACAACTTGGCAGATGCCATTAAAATCTATATATTGTACAGGCGTTATGGAATTTATGCATTATTTGAATTAGTGAAACGAAAAAGCCTGTCAAATTTCAACAATTTCTGCAGATTACTTCCAGTGTTATGGCCCTTATTTTAGTTTTTAGAACCCTGTGAACCCTCAAATGACGAAAATTATAATGTCATCTGTATGAAATTGTCTATTAAATGCCCCTAATTACAAACAAAAGAAATGCGACAACCCATGTCGACAGATCAGACGATTTAGCTGCTGTGGGCATTTGATTTGTTGCCTGGCAACCTATCTTTTTTGACAGAATTGTCAATAAATTTTAAGTTCATTTGTCATGGTACGGTAACCAAAAGAATGAATCAACACTAACAAGGTGTGTCATTTTTCACTGTCAAAATCGTGCTATCATCACTTATTTTTAAGTGATGACATTTAAATTTAAAGGAAATAAACTACTTTCTCGATTGGTAGGTGACTTAATCAAAGAAAATAATAATCCAGTCGCTAACCCTAACCGTTGATAATCCTCTTCCTAACACTAGTCTAACTAAACCTGGTATTCATTGGTTCACACAGAGAGTAAAGGGCATGGATGGACAACTTTTTCTCTTTGTTAGGGTGACCCGTGCACCCAAAACTTTCTGTTCAGAAAGTTAGATTCGATACGGCAAATGTGCACGCTTTAGTGGCTTGTCTCGAAGTGATTTCTCACTAACTACGCAGTATGATAATACTCAGCGGTAGAGTCTATGAGACCATAAATAGCCATCACACGTGTGATTCTCTACACATCTAGCAACTATTACAGCCGTAAAAAATCTATTGTTGACGATTCTGAATAGCAGTAATATTTAGCTTTTTGGTTATTACAGCAGCTTTAGAAATTACGTTAGTTTTATTTTTTAAATTGATTTATCATTACTGTACCGTTAGGAGCGGCATCTTTTGGTTTAGTACAAATAATATCTCTAAAATACTTGCGTTAGGCAAGAACATGATACTAGCAGTTAGTTTCATTTTACTTTTACAAGGTTCTTTTAAAACAATTGTTGAGTTGCCTAACATGCATGTTTCTAATTTCAATTTCTTGTTCCAGTTTTCTGTTATGTTTCGTAAAAAAGTAGTCTTGATCATCCCAGCCTGTCAATCAGATGTAGAATGGTCGGTACTCGGTAGACTGGTTAAGTGTGTTTTCCCTGGGTACCACACTCTTAGATTTCTGCCACACCAAAAGACCCCAAAATAACCTCTCTCTTTTCTCTCACATTTTCTTATTTTGTCTCTCTCTCAACCATGTAAAATAAATACGTACATACACTGTACATGTAACATGTAATGAAGTGAAATATGAATAACTTACTGAATATACAGTAGGCTACATTATAAATGATATGATTGAATTGATTACCAAGTAATATAACCACCTGGTTGTATCTAGATATAACTACACCACAAAGTGTTTACGGTCATGAGATGAAGAACTCTGTTGATTTTCAGTGATTTCTGATATAATTACTGCTAGAGTTATGCCCTTTGATCCAATGCTCTATTGATTACCTTGTGCCTATGATTGCCCTTAGTCATAGTGTTAATAATACATGATCTGTGAAATTTGTCAACATCTATCTTAAAAGTCTACATTTGTAAAATCTTAATTGCAAAATGTTCAAAAACTTTAGGTCTCTGTCATTCCTATCATTTATTTCTAAGCTTTTTGAAAATGTTGTTGGTGCAGGGGTGTTTCTTAGTCCAAATTGCCTGAAAAAAACGAAAATTGGAGAATTTCTGGTATCCGACCATTTTTTCGGTCAGAATGGGAATGGGGCACATTTTCAAAATGGCCACCAAAATATGTAAAAATCGTATTTTTAAGCTCTTAAAAACGATAACATGTCATATAACATGTATCATTTTATAGGTTTTTACTGTTGATCTTTCGATACAAGTCACTATTTTTTACTTTCCAGTAGACCCCACCCTTTGAAATCCAATATGACGGCCAAAATCCAAGATGGTGGCCATACATGTATATACATGTACTATGTATATAGCCGGGATTACCGGATGTTCACAGTGTAAAATAAACATGTCATGTAATATATCGTCATTTTATAGGTTTTTGCTGATGATTTTTCGATATAACTTATAAGTCACTGTTTTAACGACGCTTAGCAAGTGCTAATTTTAACAAGGTTTCAATGTCACAGACTTGCTTATTTTCTGGATGAACAATCGATTTTATTATTGAGTTTCTGAGTTCTTGAATAGTGAAATTTTGTCAGACTTGATACATTATTTTTGACGGATGTCAGGTGCTGTACATTTTGTTATCCTCAAATAGCCAATTGCAGATAGTAGCTGCCGTTCATTCAGGTTCTTCAACGAGCTTATTGAAGAGACAGTGTCTGGACCTCCATGTAATTTACACCTATCCAAAAGTTTTTGCATTTTAGCAAATTTTAGTTGTTTCAATTTTTCTTTCTGCTTTCTAACTGTTTGCTTAGTTTGACATTGGCCAAGAAGTCAGCTTCTAATTTTTTCACACATTTGACATTTAACCTCGTCACTACTCCTTCCCCATTTCCATTTATTTCTGCGCTCTTTATCACTGAGTTCAGTAAATTTCTCACCAGCTAATAGTCCATTAGTAGCAATAATGCATTTTTTTTTAATGCGTTTTCAGTTTAGTTATCCCTCCTGCAATTTTCATCTGGTTAATCGAGTCTTGAGAAACTAGACTCGCATCCCATATTAGTAATGGGAGCATACCTTAGTTTTTCTTCATCAATCGTACTCATAGTTTTGTCATCGAAATAGTCCATCTGCGATATCTATCTATTTAAAACATCAATGTTTGTCCGAATTGCTTTCGCAGTGTCACTAATTTTTCAAACATATCACTGAAGAAAGCTCGTACATTTGTCCAACTGTGCTCTGACTCGCATTTACGGCCATCTACTGTATTCCGAATAATTCCATCATAGGAAATATTACCATATCAATCAGTTCTTTCTCACATAGAACTGCGAAATTCCATATTGTGAATAACAATTATAAGTTTAGTTAAACAAAATTGGCACTACATGTATGTTTTCGAAAATCCCGTATGATTTTTGTCATTATTTGTCAAATGTGACCGATCAGAACAGGCGATGTCTGTTCTTTTTTAAGAAATATTGGACGTCGCCATTTATGACATCAGAATTAGTGCAAAAAAAAATCAAAATTAATCCACTTAAAAGTATATTCACATTACACGACATGGTTATTGTTACTCTGTAAATATCCGGTAATCCCTGCTATATATGGCCGCCATATTGTATTCTAGGAGCTACTTGCTAGAGAAATGCTTTGCATTACGTCTTATACATGTACATGTGTAAGATTTATATTGTTGAAAATCTTGTTAATGGTCTATATTTAGGGAAATAAAACGTACTAATTTGAAGTAATAGCTTAAAAATACGAATTTTGGCTATTTTAGACCCATTTTGGCAGCCATTTTGAAAGTGTGCCCCATTCCGGCCGAAATAATGGTCGGATACCAAAAATTCTTCAATTTTTGTATCTTTCAGTCAATTTGGCCTCAGAAACACCCCTGCAAAAGAGAAATATTGTCCCAACCCTATATATACATAAAGCCTTCCACAGCACTGAGGCACCACGACTACGCGTGCACGACATTCTCACCAATACAGACAATAAGCATTCCACAGTTTTGGATTAAGGGTTTGAGAAAGAGC